TGACCTATGGTATATTTTGATATTTCACACTCTGTACTTTTACCTAAGGAGGTAGCTAATTCGAAATTCAGCAATAACATTCAGGTTAGTAAGCTCTCCTATTTTAGATCACGTCACGCCTCTGCATAGATGATGATATTACTTAATACTATGAGCGAGATGCGTAATGATTACCTAATGATTTCAATCTCTTAAGATGTCTTTGGTACATTAATCCCCTATGATGAAAATATTATAAAACACGTATTCTGATTAACATCGACACGATCAATTATCCAAAATGAAATATGTCAGGCAAATTAATCTTCAACGTTACCAGTAATTCACGGCACGTGGAACACATCCTTTCTCATTTTCAAACTGATCAGTCTGAGTCTAAGATTATGTAAAGGCATGTTTCTTTTATTAAAACGTTGATACTTGTCAATCGCAACACGCTCCTTATCATCACATTTACAAGTCATGTATGACAGGTAGGATTTATGATTGATAGGGGGTGAAGATGGGGGCTGTTTGGTCGTTTACTTCCAAGGGCAAATAGTGTAATGTGACCTTCGAGCGGAGGGTCCTGGGTTCGATTCCCGCACTGGGCATTGAATTTGGCACACTCCCTTTCAAGTCTGGTATCTGGTTTCTTACACCCCCCGACGGACGTGCCCAAGGGTCGTTACAGTTAGAATCAAATAATATACTTCAAATATTTCAGCACCACATGAAATCAGTGAGAAATTGCCATGTTACGAGCACAGCATATTATGGAAAGGTGTAGTTTTGTAACGAACCAACATAACGTTATGAAGTCTAATACATAAAACTCCCCATGTATATTCTAATGAGAGAGCATTCCTATCACGAGTAGGATTATTTTTTACATAACATAGGACGCATGTAAAGTTTAGATGTCCTTGGGCATGCAGAACATTAAGATGATATGTGATTTTTGTTCATAACAAGTTATTAGTGTCAAAGTCTACAGCCAAAACCAAGATATATGGTACCAAGTGTGATATACCATTGGAAAGATCGTCCAAAGTTGAGGGCCGGGGATAGTCTTTTTAGTACAAGTGGAATGCGAAAAAAGGTTAAGTTTTTAAGCGTATTACTGAGATAATATCCTTCTCATTTCAACGTAATAAAAGTTGCTGGAGGAGGTATCACTATTTAAAAAAAATAATCAAGAAAATAAAGGTAAATTTCATCCAAAATACTTGAGAGTAAGTGAATTAATGTAACTTTGGAGGATTTTTCACGCTAGGTACCATCTATTAAGGTTTTAGTTGTAGCATTATTTGACACCCTGTATATGGCGTTTGTTTCTAATGTAAACAGGAAACGATTTGTTGACATGTCTGAATAATATAAAATCCTTAATCTTCAAACCCTGTTTTGAAGCAGAAGTACCATTGCTTATATTTGATATAAGATCTTATATTTTCGTAAAGGCCCTAACTATTAGTTGTATTAAAATATCGCTCCAAGCATAGAACATGTTTTTTCATCAAATAAGTAATTTGTCATCGTGGTAAGCCACGCCCTCTCCATCTCTATCCTTCTGCGATGCAACAGAGAGATATGCTATGAGTATCAAAATGGTAATTTTTATGATGGCCAAAGCAATCTTTAAAATGACACATTTTATAATTATATTGAAATAACAAGAAATCTGTCATGGCTCTGGATTGCTATGGGATGTCAGGGTGTGCTGATTACATCGAGAACCTAATATCAATAGCTTTGAGAAACGTCCTGTGCTTTCATCTTGGATTACTAAGCTGTTTTATATGTCTCTGTACTAAGGTCTGACGTTTTCAGATTGAAGGTTGTAAATCAAACTGTAAGCGAGTATGCTGCGCTTTCTTGAACAGAAAGTGCATCTCAATTGATGCTCAGAATTAATTGTTTTTATACCTGAAAGTTATAAGCATTCTGCTAGAATTTAGAAAAGCGGCACGGTTTGTAATTGCATTGTTCTAACTATACTAATAAGAAATATTTTACTAGTTTCAGATTAACTACCTGACAATTTCATAATTTTACAGGGTAACCCAAAACCAAGACTGCAAAAACTGAAATAAATTACGCGTGGCAATCACTTTCATGAGACTAACATAAAACATTTCTGAACCGTGCGTAATTTTACGGCAAGATGCTACCTGCGGTCTGTCGATTCAGACATTATGTCTTTCCTATCTAAAATCTTGAAGGATGTACATATCACTATTCATGTCTGAAGTACCTCCTCTGACTGTAAAACTGAATGTCAAGACTGCGCTCTTGACATTCGGCGACTGGCACTCAAGAGCTCGGTGACTCCCGACATAATATTACATAATTCTTATTAAGTGCTCTTTCTCGCATGTACGAGAGAAGCAAAAGTATCCAAATTGAAGAAAATGACGTTCACCTTTTCAGAGCTATTGTCAGTTGTATTAAGTCACTTTTAATTTAAACTTCTTGTGATCACATGTACAGTCTTTTTTAAATAACATTAACATCAATCATACAAAATAAACATACAAGTCTTACAAATCTAATATCTTTTGTTTGTTAAACTCGCTTTTAATATTACCTAAATAGTTCTGGCAGTTGAAAATTTGGATTGTTTTTCTGGCTATTAGAACATCTTTATAATTAGAACATGTTTGAAGACCTAAAATTTGTTCATCTGTCAAACTGAAATTATTCCAAATATATTTAACTTTATTACATTTAATAACATGATGTACAATAATGTCATTTACTCCACAATGGTCACATAAAGGAGAATTTTTAATTTTGAACTTGAACAGGACCGAATTACAACGATAGATATTGTGAAGTGTACAATCATGTACAATCATGAGTATGTGCTCTTTCAGTGCTACGTCAACACTACGGTTAAATACTATTGAAGTTACTCGATTCAAACTTGAAGAGAATACTAATAAAAACAACCACGAACATTGTGATATAAATATTGTTCCAAAATTAGAAATATGTTGAGGTATTCCAAAAAATATTTGGACTCATCTAAGAGTGCAAATCATAATATACTGTACGTTTTGCTCACACATACGAGTACAATTGTATTAATGTTGTAACACATGGAACTGTAATCTTCAAAATAACGCCCACATATATCAGCTTTATTGTAAATTGATGCTTTCAACAGTTATTCCCATCAACAATCAAGTAGCTGAGACAAAGGTTTTATCCCAGCAGATAGACAGATGTTGAACGTTAAAGCGTTGACCAATGCAATTAAAGTATCTTTTAATTGATATAACATATATTACAGGCAGTACATAATGTTTTTAATCCAGAACATGAAGTGACTTGCCCTACCCATTGCATTCTTTCGACGTCGACTTCTTAAAAGAGAGCTTTGTCTTCGTAGTTTGTTATGAGACTCTGCGCTCAGGGTAGTATTGTACGCTTATTTAAAAATTCGATAGTAAAATGACGTGGCTATATACCTTTACACTTTTTCAAAATACTTGGTCGCTTGTTTTTGCAAACAAATATACTAAGAGTGCAAACACAACATGTACAATAGATACATCACGTCTTTGCCTAATATTCCTATGGGTTCATCAATCTTATTGATGATGCCAATCAAGCGTGGTACGGTCATGTAAACTATAATATATAGTTTTGTAATTTGAAACTGGATGGGGTCTATGACCATTTTCATTTTTCAATGATATATAAGCCTACAAATAGGAACCATTCTTAATGGTACATATACATTCATATTGTCTCTAATGATGTTTAGAGATCTGCCCAATTATTATAAACTAAACTAACTAAACTGTTATAATGCCTTACATATAGGATCCAGTCAACAAGGTACTTATGTGACAAACACCAAAGTCATAGTTGCAATCTTTCCAAAATATAAAACACTCTACCCCGTGCCCTTGACTTGTGTACTATTTCCTACTCTTTCCAATGAAACTAGTACTATTATACTACTACTATTAATAGGACAAGAGCTAGAGATCATCTCTAAATTGGACCTACTGATTCGAACATATCATGGAAACATTCTAACTAGAAAACAGCAACTCCACGGAGTAGCAATTCCCACCGAACAAAAAATGTTTTGATCAATAGCGGCCACTTTGAAAAAAGAACTCATTTGTCCCTAGGCATCAGAATATAAAATTTGAACTTCATTCTGTCAATTTGTACTTTGGTTTCCAAAGATTACATTAAATTTTTAACAACAAATGGAGGCCATTTTGATGAATAGCTGTCATCTTTAAAATTCCTTCTCAAGCAGAGCTCCTTTGTCCCTAGATCAGCAAATAAAATTTGATCCAAATCCGTCCATTGGTATTTGAGTTATCAAATATTACATTATTAATGGTGGCCATTTTGAAATTCAGTGGCGACCTTGAAAATGTCTTCTTACGCAGAGTAACTTTGTCTCTTGGCACAAGCACATAAGATTTGAACCAAATCCGTCAACAGGTATTTGAGTTAGCAAAGATTACTGCGTACTTTTACGAAAAATGGCGGCCATTTTGAAATTTAGCTGTGTCATCTTGAAAATTCCTTCTTGAGCAGAGCTCCTGTGTCCCTAGCCACCTGTCGATCACTTGTATTGTCTGACTGGAGTTATCAAAGATCGAGTTTTTAAAGAAAAATGGCAGCCATTTTGAAATTCAGCGGGCTTCTTGGAAACCTCATCTTGAGCATAGTTCCTTTGTCACTAGGAATCAGCATATAACATTGAACCAAATCTTTTCAACTAGGATTTGAATGCGAATTACATTTTTATGATAACAATAAAAAAAATGGTGGCCGTTTTGATTTTAACGGCCGTGAATTTCCTTCTCGAGCAGCAGTTTCTAAGGCATAAGCCGGACGGTTTCTCTATATCCCTGTCGAACTTCGTTCGATGGTATAAATATAGACACATATGCTAGCTGTCAAAAGTATTCTATTGGATCCGATGAAAGCTCTGCTATTTCTAAAATGGTACTTTTAAACATTTAAAGGTGAGTGTAACATACCTTTTTCGTGATACTGAGCAGGTCTTCATAGCCAAACCACTGGTCACCTTTAAATGCATAGGGAACTAACTGATCGCGCTGCCACCTATTTGTCCAACCATTATTTTTCACATTCAAACACATCTGGAATTGGACAGGATATATCAACATCTACATGTATATCTCTGTTTTAGCCTAATAGGATAACATGGGTAGATTTACAGTAGATGTATGCTAGTTATAATAGTTCAAATGTTGTACAGCGACGCAAACGATATGCTGGTCATTCTATTCATCAAAGGGTATTAGCTTTTTAGTGATATATCCACTGATTAAAAGGAGCTATCCGTGTGACATCACTTAATTAGTCTTACCTCATAGTACGACAGGAACCCAGATGATGCTGTGTATTCACCAGAATCTCCTGCTCCAATTGCAGCATCACCGGGTCTGTTATTTTTGGGGTCCGCAAGTTTGAATCCAAGGGCATAAGCTGGGATGCCAAGAATAAGCTTCTCTCTTGGTGCGCCAAGCTCCAAGTATTTATTCACTACCCAATCCTAATAAATTGTGAAACTGTGTCACTTTGCTATGCAATCATGAACAAGGACAAACGTTTAATACAAGGTGTGTAACATTGCAGAGGATACATGTAGAAATAATGAGTAATAGTGTTTATGTTCAAATATATTCGGGCATGTCATGCTTCTTAAGAGTTTTGCAGATAAAGTTATTTGGTATTAAGAGAAAGGTATACATGACATACAACACCGTGTACAATTGAAAATTAAACTTACCAAATTCAGAAGACTTTTTTTGTCCCGCTCATCAGACCTAGGGTAGAGGGCACTGTGCATTCCTATCCAGTCATTCCAGCTGCCGTGAAAGTTGTACGTCATCACATTCATGTAGTCCAAGTAACTGGAATATATTCACTCAAAAGTAGAATATTTTACTCTTCAATGAAACTGGATCCTGGCCGGGGCATTCTCCTAAGTAGGTATCCATAATCCGTATCTCCTTCTTCCCCCTGCTATAACCAATTTGAAAGCGCCCGATTAAACTGAAACACGTGATCTAATTATGCGCAATGACTTACACATGATTTCTGTCGCAGTGTTGCGACAGCCAATCAGATTGCGAGTTCTTAATCGTGGAAATGCTAACTGCTTATTGCAGGGGGTAAAAAGAAAGAATATATTCTGGATTTTGAAGCCCTGTGATCGGAGGATGGGCCGGGGAACCCACTTCAAACGTCGGAAGGGAAATGATACTCTACTCAGTATATGTGTTTGTATTGAATTTTGTATCCGTTATGCCCTCATGCATTGTTAGTACATGCAATTATGCCTTTAAATTTCCAATGAAGAATGATACAGGATTCCTTATTACTTGAGCAAATATCGTAATACATTATGTAACGGCCACCATATTTCCATTTTTGTAAATAATTAGATTTAGAGTTATTGCCCCGACAGACGGACGTGCGAACGGACAGACGGACGTACCGACGGACGAACGGTCCGTTCGATGGGATACTTATTACCTTATAGGTTTGGGTAATTTGTATAAATAGGATCGTTTGCGATAACATATTCAACCACATACATCACGTTCTACTCATGAAATAACAAGTGATTTTATATCAAGCAAATAAGTCAATCGATGTTATCCCTGAAACCATCCACCACAAATTCTACAACATCAGAAGAATATCTCTCAATGATTTTATATTAGCGCTATTAGCTGCTTATTATTTGTACTTACGGTGATATCTCGGGAACTTCATATCCTGCCTCTATTGACTCTGAGCCAGCTGCAAGACAGGACGACAAGAGAAGACGATTCTCTCCCATTTTTTGGGCCTCCCCATCAAAACTTAAACGGAGTTCCTGAAAATTTCAATTGCGTTTTTACAAAATCACAATCAAATCCTCTGAAAACAAGAGACTCCAGATCTAGTTTGACAGAAGATAAAAGATCCGGCTGGAGCACTCTGATCAGGGGATAGCATGAACTGATAATAAAAAGGTTCGTGATACTCTGAAACTCTGAGTCTAGCAGTTTTCTAATTGACTTAGAGATGCGAAGTGAAGATGTTTACAGATGCTGGTTACGCGATTGATTATCCCTATGTATCAAATTCGTAGTCGTTTGAATGAAACCTTACCCGCACAAGATCTGTAAACCTATATTTGTCCTCCTTTGGACTCCCTCTATATTCTGCCCCGGGAAACTCCCAATCAAGGTCAAGGCCATCAAAGTTATGTTTACGTAAAAACGTCAGGGCATGTTCGATAAATTTGAACCTAAAATACAACAATATAGAGTGCACGATGGAGACGGCCACCTCAATCCAACATAGTCGGACATATTAGAGCTGGTAAGTCTATCAAAATATAATAAGGAATTGCAACACAAATCTATATTCGAATCATATGTAGTAGGAAAAGTATGGGAATCAAATGACAATGCTAAATACGTCTCGTTGAATTAGTATTTATATAGGGCAAATCATTGTGTTTTTCCCACTTCCTGCGCACGTGTGGGTGTCATTTTTTATAGTTATAAAATAAGTAATTGGAAATGTAAACAAGGTATACTAGCGAGATAAATAGTGACATAAAAAAGGGTGAAAGCGCCGAAAACGGAACAAATCGTGGAACTTTCCATATATGACCAGACAACCTTCCTGGGTGTAAAAAGCAACTGTGCCGAAAATTTCCTCCATTTTTTATCTACTTTTCGCAATTTTTACCCCTACCCCTAAAATTTATAGGGGTAGGCTTAATGACCATCCATAACATTTTAGGATTATCATTAAATAGTATCATAATTTCAATGTTGGGACCTTTTACCATGATACACATGATAATGAGTGAGATTGCAGTCAATTTTTAGCAAAATGAATATTTACTTATCTTTAATTAATTCCTTTTATCTCTTTTCCATAGTGGCTCTACATAATGAACAACGTAATTTTAATTGAAAATAAAGTTTGACAAACTATGTGACATCTGATGAGTGACTTGAATGCAAATACAGAATAATCTAGGAAAAGGTGTATCTTTCTGAAACAACTACCAAAATCACTTCTTGTTTTTGACAAGGTCATGCTTGAGTGACAATGAGCATCAACGTTTATGATAGGATCTAGATCAGTTTTTGTAAGTATGATTTTGACCTATATGATTAATAAAAATAATCAAGAAGTTATTCTGCTTATTTTGATTAAAGAGGCTCTATGCAATAGGATAGCAAAATCAAGACCCCTCTGGACTTTTTGCATATTGAGTTTCACCACATATATACCCATCTACTTACCAAAGAAGAAGTCCCAAATCCCCCTCTTTCAGTGTTAATTTCGTGATTGTGCTGGCCGATCTAATTATTTTCGAAGAAATTAATTCAATCTGAAGTGTGAATATACCGGGAAAGTCATCCTGTTGTCTGATTGGTCGTTGAATTTGTTCATCATAAACCTGATTGGCTGCCTGGTTCAAGGCACTTGTGGGCGCTTGTGTGACTCAATGGGAATTCCTCTCGCTAGCTGAGGAATCGATTGTGTTTAATTCTGGAGTTTGGTTGTTCTGTTGATTATTTCCGATATTTCGGCAATGATATACCCAAAAGTTATTCTCAAGATATATCTATGGTATGTGGGATATTATATGAGCAATAACAATAGGACATCATTGATTGTCTGGGGGAGAAACCTATGGCATAATGCATCTTTAACTGTTATGTTTTAAAATATGATATTGTTGGTCTAATGAGGGCAGTTTTGAATTAAGAATGAGTGTTATGTGTATTGGGAGGGGGTCTTGTTACTTGGGTTGATTTCAGGTAGATTACCAATCAATACAATTTTGCCTCTTGATTTTGAATCTTTGATAGATACACAGCAGAGTGAAGAAACAGGGTCGCCTTTATTCAAATTCTGGTACATGGTACTCCAATTACAAGTTCTGGGTCTAACAAATGTTAGAGCTGTGAGACTTGGGGACTTCAAGCTCTACAAAGAAACTATCATGGAAATCATGCCATGGTTTGTCTCCCTGGATCATACCAATTATGCCCGCTGGGTACCTGTCCATGTAAGTGATATGGTTCAGCTCAAAGAAATCCATCCTGAAGTTCACAATGGTTTCATGAAGGGGCATTTCACTGTCAGCAAGTCAAGAAAAAGCTTCTCCTCCATGTCAATAGACCAAGCCCATGAGCAAAATAATAGTGTGATCAAAAGTGAGGGTGGAGCTGTGGGGTTGTTCGACAATCCAAGCGCATTACAAAAGTGGATGGTCGATGGTCCAGAGATCGCAAGAATGTTAACTGAGTTTGAGGATGAGATGAAGAATAATGATGGTCCTTGCAAACCATAAGCACAGTGTTAGTTATCAAACCAGTTTCAACAAATATGTCAATTCCATTACTTAGGTTATCAATGATTTAGGAAATCCCTTTATTGCAACATCAAAGGAACTTTGGACACTTGATACTAGAGATGTAATGTCAAGCAGTGCAGTTGACACATTGAACACAATTGAGAAAAGGGGGAAAAGTCAATGTGAAGTATATGTAAAGGAGAGAATTATTGAAAGATCAAAAGCCATCACCAGACCCTATCAAGAGAAACAATTTCAAGATCTTCAAACAAATCTAAGTCAAGTTCAAAGCTAGCAAGCTATTTTCACAACTATACATAGCGTGCCAGAATAGAGACGGCAACTTAGAAGAACTTTTCCGACATGAGAACCAGACATTCCCTCCATCCCTTTCACAAGATGGCACAATCAAGACTGGACTCAAAGCAAATATCTTAAAACCACTGGAAGACCTTGTTCCAAATAGAGACATCAATACACCAGATGTTGAAGCCCTGTTTCTTGATGGTGCCGTAATAGTCCACCTGCTGAAAACTCAAGAAGCAAGAACCTTCCTACAATACTCAAAAAATGACATATTCAATAAGTATGTTGCAGATCAACTTAATAGAATACAAAGACTTGATATTGTATGGGATCAATATATACCAAATAGTGTCAAATCTTCAACAAGAAAAAAGCATGGATCTGGAAAGCGTCAAATAGTTTATCCAGAAAACAAATTGCCAGGGAATTGGCCAGAATTTCTACGCTCAGATGACAAGAAAAGTGATCTCTTTACCTTCCTTGCATCAAATGTCTCAGCCATTCCAGTACCAGAGAATAAAATCCTGATTACAACAATTGGGAATTCTGCAGAGGCATATCCTAAGCAGCATGTTTCTGAGATTTCACCATCATCCCATGAAGAGGCAGATTCCCAAATCTTTCTGCACATATATGATGCAATGAAAAAAGGCTTCACAAAAATGACGATTAGAACAGTTGATTCAGACATTGTTGTTCTGGCAGTTAGCACAACTTAACATTCAAATCTGGCTCTTCTTTGGCAAGGGAAAGTCCTATAGATACCTTCCAGCCCACGAAATTGCCCATGAAATGACTCCTCAGAAAGCCATGTGTTTCCCAATATTCCATGCTATGACTGGGTGTGACACCACATCAGGCTTTAATGGAAAGTCTAAGACATCAGCTTGGAACCAATGGAGTACCTACCCTGAATTGACTACAGTATTAACAGAAATCTCAATACGACCCAATACCCTGCTTGATGCCTATTTTAGAGCAGTTCATTATTCTGGTCTCCAACTTAAAACAAGCAATGAAACATCAATCAATGCTGCGAGGAAGGAGATGTTCACAAAGAGGACTTCAATAATATCACATATTCGTCCAACATCAGATGCCTTTTAACAGCATATGAAGAGAGTCATATACCAAGCTGTATTTATTTGGGGGCAACCACTTACAGCAAATCCTCAAGTTCCTTCCCCAGCTGAGTGGGGCTGGATATTTGAAGACACCAAATGGATACAAAGGTGGACAACCTTACACCAAGCATCAGACGCTTGCCAGGCTCTCATAAATGTGGCTGCAAAAAGCAATGCATATCAACACGATGCAAGAGCCTGAAAGGAAATCTTGTTTGTACAGCATTATGTGTGTGTGATGGCAATTGTTCTTCATAAGGATACTGCAACATACCAAAAAGTAACTATGATACTGATAGACACTAGTATAAATCCTTCTATTGATAAGATTAATAAAACTATGATTTAAAAATGTGTGCAAAGTGAAACTAAAGGAACTATGAAACAGATATAGATAGTTGATATATGGAGTCTAACTGCACTCAGAAGCCAAAAGAAACCACAAGTCGAGCCATATCGACCATTTTTTCTGGATATCTAAAAGATGGGTGTGACTCAAAACAAGCCTTTAACAGTGAAAAAGGTGAAAAATAATAGTCATGTGAAGCATTAGATATAGATGTAATTTTAAAATCATATATCACTTATTTGATTTACTCCTGCTACTGTGATATGGTGCAAAATATTCAATACAAGAAAAGTGGGCGTCGCCCATCGCCACCCTTTAACAGATCAATCGAAAATCAATGGTATTTCATATTTTTACTTCAACATTAACTTCTTAACATGATAAGGTAATATTAAATTTGAAGTATGAGCGCGAGCATAATTTAGTAAAAAAAATTGTGTCAACATTTTTTTAGCCCCCCCCCTCCGTGACCATGGGGGGGGGTAAGAATTGTAAAATTAGGGTAGTTCCTATGGAGCGATTTTTTGGCACAGTTGCTTTATTTAAAGAGTAGCAATCAGTGATCATTTGAGGAAAGTTTCACGATTTGTTCCGCAAACGGCGATTACTTTACACTATTTATCCCGCTATACGGTAAATACGTACAGCACGGTATTGCGTTACTAAAATGACCTGTAATATAGATATCGCAGGATATCACATTGCAAAAATTACATGTTATGAAGGGTAATTTTACATGCACTCGTCATTTTGCTAAATATTTACAATATTCAACCCTTTCGATGCTATGCCATCTATGACGATCCCAAAGGCATTGCAAGTTGGATCCCAAACATGATCATATCTAATGTTGCTCTCTTGATATTCAACGTCATCATTCAATTACCTTGATGTTGAATCTTTGGCCATTTCGGTGAAAACCTCAGTCCCTAGATTCCATCCACCAACAGCTAAGAGTACCTTTAAATGTGGATACTTGCTCTTCAAATCTGTAACTTGCTTATAGCGACCTGCAAAAGCATGACAACCAGAATAGCGTGATTAGATATATTGGTGGAAAGTTCACCATGATTTGTGACCTTGACCTCATTGAAATTAATATCTCTACCTTGATGATCCATCTAGCTATCAATGTGTTGGTAAGAGAGTAAAATCCTTATAAAAACTAGCTCTGAAAGAAAAAAGCGTATTGTGCTTTCCAATTGAAAACTAATGATCAAATAATTACTCTTGATGTAGAAGTATTATCTCAATGTATCTTTACCAAAACATTCTCCATAACTTATATTATAAAGTCATATAAAATGAGTGTGGATCAAACTACTAAACTTACCATTGTTGCCAATGTCATTCCACTCGTAAGGTGCCAGCACCCCCTCTTCGATCTTAGAGCAGCAGTATATAATGTGTGTGCAGAGGGTGGGGTCAATGTTCTCCGGGTTGAACTTGGCTTCTTCTATAGGGCGATACTGGGACCAGTTGGTATAATAACATAACACGGGGGTGGACGAACCAAGACCTACCAGTAGATTAAAAATAATGCAATTAGAACTTGGTATAATAACATAACACCGGGGTGGACGAACCAAGACCTACCAGTAGATTAAAAATAATGCAAATAGAACTTGGTATAATAACATAACACTGGGGTGGACGAACCAAGACCTACCAGTAGATTAAAAATAATGCAAATAGAACTTGATATGAGGTCATCTGCAATGCTGCTGATTATACTTTATAAGGGGTCGTGTGTTATGCTGTGATTATTATACTCTATAAGGGGTCATTTGTAATATTTGCTGATTATACTTTATAAGGGGTTGTGTGTAATGCTATGCTGATTATACTTTATAAGGGGTCATGTGTAATACTATGCTGATTATACTTTATAAGGGGTCATGACCATGTGTAATACTATGCTGATTATACTTTATAAGGGGTCGTGTGTAATACTTTGCTGATAATACTTTATAAGGGGTCGTGTGTAATACTTTGCTGATTATACTTTATAAGGGGTCATGTGTAATACTTTGCTGATTATACTTTATAAGGGGTCATTACCATTTGTGTAATACTATGCTGATTATACTTTATAGGGGTCGTGTGTAATACTTTGCTGATTATTCTTTATTAGGGGTCATGTGTAATACTTTGCTGATTTTACTTTGTAAGGCGTAATGTGTAATACTATGCTGATTTTACTTTATAAGGGGTAATGTGCAATACTTCTGATTTTACTTTATAAGGGGTCATATGTAATACTATGCTAATTTTACTTTAAAGATGTTATATCTTCTGTTGTGCTAATCACACCTTATAAGGGGTGGTGGTGTCTAATTTGTGCTGATTATAGTTTAAAATGTGTGCTGATTATACTCTTTTCCACTATCTTGGGTACTTTATAAGAAGCCATGTGTAATCTCGTAATGCTGTGCTGGTTATACTTCATGAGACGCGATGCGAAATATTGTTTTATTTCGAAAGTTACGTCTAATGTTGCATCCAGAGAGGGATAAAATCCATTACAATACTTGACTTACCATTGGATAACTGCGTCCATATTCCAAGTAAAAGGAGCAATGTGGGAAGGGTATTTATTTGCATCTGAAAGTAGAGACAATCCGTAAATAAAAACACGATACACGAAATTCCATGAAAAGTTTTATTATAATCTAAAACTAAAATAAACTAAAATAAAAAAGGAAAAATTGCGAAACTAAACCTAAATGCAATCTCGTGTTGATAAGTAAAATAACGTTAAAAATTCACCTGATACCGTGCGGTTTCTATATAACAGATCATTTTAGTAACGCAATGCCATGCGATATCTACGGTACACCTCATTAGTGTTTACATTAGGTAATTTCAACTTTAAAATCATCTTATTTATGGGGTAATTTCACTTGACACGGTGGGTGAAAAAAGTTGTACGTGGACAACTACTAATTTGCGGTAATAGAGAACATCATAGATCATCACCTGATATAAATTCAGACAATGCGCTCACTTTTTCTACTAGGCCTACTAGTAAATCTTAATTTACATCCCTAGACTACCCTCGATAAGTTTGTCAACTCCCAGATAATGTGTAAATTAGGGATTTAAGCCTTGGACTCAGTGGATTGTGTGCTGAACCATTCCATGAAGATGTTGTTTTCAAATCTTTGCATGACCGCGCAGCGGGAATGCAAAGTTTGGGAAACAACATCTGAGTGGAAATAAGCAGCCACAATGCATTGGGCTTTTGGCTTAAATTCTTTTCACACATTGTAAAATACTTTCTACAAAATCATCTAAAAGGAACGAAATTACTAAAAGAACACATTCTCAATGAGTTTTTTTGCCAAGGGTCAAGTTGGCAAGTCATCAAATCCAATGTGAAAAGTCCATTCATCACCATGACAACTGTTTAATTAGTGACCTTGAGTGTGTTATTGATTATTTCACACACTGTTCTCTATGTGAAATACTGTGTTCGGATTGGCTGGAATCAGACAAACCTTGCGCATGCCTAGCTATGTGTGAAAGCCTGTTTATGTTGGGTGGTTTGAAAAAATCACCGACTCTGTCTCATATTTTTGGACTAATGCAATGAAGGAACAAAATAAAGATTCAAACACAATGAGTAGGCTTTAACACGCTTTCAGAAAAAAAACTCCAGCTCTTGCTTTTTCATCCAAGAATAAATTTTGTAGATCCAATACTTTTATTTCTATTACTAATTATATAATGTATTTATTTATTAACTTCAATTTAATTCTAAGTATTTGCCTGTCATAGTAGCCCGGACATGATTTATTAGGTTTCACTGATTTATCATTGTGAGAAAGCAATATCACGGTGTTATAGCATGACGGTTACGTCAAGGCGATTTGCAAGATTTTGCGGTAACGATAACAAAAAATGGCGGACGGGAAAGGCAGCATGTCCTCTTTCTCGCCCGTAGGCAAGTTTCACAGAAAAGATTTCCTTTTAAACTAGTTCCATTTGGTGACGTACGTATGGATGATTATAAAGACTGGGTCAAATCTGCCAGGTGGTCTACAAGAAGCAAAATATAAGCTGTAAACCTACCGACTGAGACATCCAAGTTCATAATTTTTAGTCCATTCTCGTGTTTTCTCAGAACATGTGCCTCAAAATATTAACTGTAAGTAAACTGTGTATAAACAAGCCATAAAATGACAAATCCAGAACAGGAACGTGGTGTATATTGTAAATAATAAGGTTTCAAACAAAATGTCGTTAGACGACTACGTATGAATTCTATGGACGGTAACGTACCACCTGGCAGATTTGACCCAGTCGTTATAACCATCCATATATACGTCACCGAATGGAACTAGTTAAAAAGGAAATCTTATCTGTGAATCTTGCCTACAGGCGAGAAAGAGGACATGTTGTCTTTCCCATCCGCCATTTTTTGTTATCGTTACCGCAAAATTTTGCAAATCGCCTTGACGTAACCGTCATGCTATAACACCGTGGTAACACTTCAATTACGATTGGTTTCATACATGGGTTTTTAAGGTGGGTAACCTCTATTTTGAGAAATATATAAATAAACGTTCTACAGGGGAAATGGGGAGTACCAATCCGAGTTTGATGTTGCGTATTAACTGTTAAGTATTTGGAATATCTGTGTTTAGATTTTCATTTCATTTCTTCAAGATACGCAAAGTGGTAAAATTAGTTTTAAAAGGGTTGTTGAATATCCAAGGTGTTCAAAAAATGTTGTCCCTTAGTTCTTGTTAGCGAGTAAATTGCATTGAACATGGTGTTCACTGTTGACGTTCATATGGAATTAGTTTTGAAAAGGGAGACATCCAACTTTTCGTCAAAATTGTTTCTTAGCAACCAAATACCAAAAAGTAAGTATTATCATAACGTGTAATGTTGTGAGCAAAAAATTGAAAACTTTTGAATTTTTGTTAAAGTTATTTCGAACTAGTCTTTGTTTTGCCTGATTCTGCTTTAAAATATATAAAATATAAAGAAATTGTGAAAATACAGTACGTACCATTGTTGTATCTGCCATCACTCCATGTAAATCTGTAAAATATCCAGACCTGCTAAATCTCAAATGTTTTAGGAAAAGTAATACCGTACATAAAATTATAAAAAGACAATCGATGACCTGACTTGAGTGACACACGCTCTCGCAGAGTAAATTCACCTTACATGAAATTTAATTGCCCCTACATGAAATGTTATTCCATCAAGTTTTGTCAAAATACAAATAGAATAAAATATTCCAATGCGCAAGAAGATATTACCATATGCACATTCAAATATTTTTTAAATATACATAAGATGTGTTTTGCAAAGCAGTCAGGTGCTAGCAATAAAACAAAACAAAAATTTAAGGGCACGTTAAAAATACCGAATCAAATATTAAAGTTTTTAATTGGTTTATATTAATATCGAACATGACAAGGGATGTGTTTGTGTTGACAAACTGTTACATACAGAAGGTCCAGGTGTTGCAATGAAGTGTGCTCTCTCCTGCACAAATTATTATATTCTAGTCTTGCTATTTCACATTTTCTCTTACTGAAGCCTGAAGAAAAATTGTTGTTTCGTACTTTATATCACCAAGGACCTTCTCTGATTCCTATCCACCTTTTCTCTCATTAACCGACTCTAGTATTTGTACATTTAGAAATCGAAATTTGAGAGTTGTGATTCCGTCTATGTTTTTCCCGATGTTTTTGTACATGTGGCTTGGGTATATAAAGCCTCATTAAAGATCCTCAGCAATTCAATTAATTAAATACATGACAGGTGATAAATTTAAACGTGATTTGTCTCTTCTATATTCATATTGAATATTAAATGTTGCATATGAGGTGTTGCATAATTTTGAATAAGTTGTGGAAGAATACGTTTACATTTTAAAGGACCGTTCACAAAACAGTTTTACGGGACGCTCAATAAGTAATGGATAAACAGTGATGCTTGCTGCAACGCTTTTGTTTTTAATGCATTTTTTCGGGAATCGGAATATCCGAGACAGTGTACAGTTTGAGAGTCGTTAATTAAGGATTTAAGGCCTGGACTCGGTGCATTGTTTGCTGAATCGAACCATGGAATGAAGCAGCTACAATACAATGCATCGAGTCTTGGGCTTAAATTCTTTTCACAAATTGCATTTTTTCTACAAAATAATCCAAAAGGAACAAAATCACTTAAACAACAAATTTTCAATGACATTTTTGCAATGGTCAAGTTGGCAAGTCATCAAATCCAGTGTGAAAGTCCATCCATCACCATGACAACAGTTTAACTAGTGACCATGCATGTGTTATTGATATTTCACACACTGTTCTATATGTGAAATACTGTGTTTGGATTGGCTGGAATCGAGCACACTTTGCCTAGCTATGTGTGAAAAGTTAATAAAGTTATTTATTCCATAATACTACTATTTTCACAGGGAAATATGAAGGAATAAAAATCGTATTGAATCGTATTACATGAAAAAATCGTATTGTCCCCGGGAAAAATCGTATTGGATCGTATTTTATGTTTCCCGGTCATTTTTAACTTTTTTAATTTAACTTCAAACAATGTGCACTTACTTATTATATAATGTTTGCATTATCCATATGTAACATTTTAGAGGGATGTATTATGGAATAAACAGGTTATTTCTGGTCGGGATTGAATATGGTTTTTATTCCTTGGAAAATAAGATCAATATCATATTTCAGTCAAGCCGAGTAAGTAAGTCAACATTCGAAAATAAAAATCTCAAAAATCGTACATCTTTGATTTCCAAAATAATTTGTGAGGTGGTTATTAAGACGATAATACACATTTTAACGTATTAATTTTGAGTACATCTCGAATCCATTCTCAACAAAGCGTTCTCGAAATAAGTATTCGAAATATTTAAGTTCGGGATGATTAAGTACGTTAAGATATACCGTTCCTTAACAAACTCCTTTGGGAACAAGATATAGAATCATATGCATATTCTTCTTGTTTACTCGCTGACACATGCCAACGAATGTTACATAAGTAAATATCTCCGTTTTAAATAATTTTGTAAACGTTGTTCTCTACAGGTGCCATTTTTATAATTGAAAAACAAAATTGAACATTTTGCATTTCTAAATTGATAAGTTTCTTGGGATACAACTTAACTGTTAACGATTTAAGTCATTAATAATATTTCCCTAAGTGATCCCATGCTAAATAAACAGTAATTAGGTCATTGTTTTGTGTTCAACCTTGTTTGCATGACTTTTAAACATGAGTCGACAATTATGTAGGAAATTTCAATTCCAAATGTAAGCGTGTCAACTCCTGTTATTGCACAAAATTTAGCCTTTTAGAATGATAGATCGCCAAAATCTGCATGTACCTCTCAATGAGGAGACACGTTTTTAAATTTATAGATGCTGGGATATAAACTCAAACAAAAATTCAAACCACCCGCTATTATTTTGATTACACAAGACGAAATTTCTACTCCCGGGGAGCACAGTGGTAACACTTTGAAGGAGGATTCTTGAAAAATCGTTCAAATTTTCACAAAAGGTTTCACGCAATTTTATTGCTTTGTTTAAGCCTCGACTAATATCATACTCAAATCCGATACCATAATTATGAATTAAAATGAAACATTAAACTCACCAGGTTATTTGATAAACCGTTTCGAGAGTTGATGATTTGAGTTAACTGTGGATATTTATATAAATGTAAGTCGGCGTGCATTTGACAGTTAATGTACACACATGATGTATGCATCAACGTGTGACTTAGATATCAATTCGTGACTATCATATTTGGCTTTCAAAAATTAAGTTGGAAGTTACAGTGGTTGGAGATTAACAAAAACGTCAATCACATCCAAATATCCGAACGACGTCAAGTATTAGCAATACACGTTTCGTGCATCTCGAAAGAGGCAATGTTCTGTGATCCAGCAATGTGCATTCCGAAAGAAAAAATTCACAAGTATCAACAAATTTCATTGAGTTGGATATTACATTCGAAATCACAACTTTCGAAATATTTGTTTTAACCAAGAATTGTAAGAACTTAAAACATGTTGTTAGTTTTTCAAACCGCACATCCTCATTTACGTTCTTTAATACAAGGATGAATTCATTTGAAAACATGGATTTTCTTGATTATTCTTCAAAACTACCCTTGAAATATAAGTATTTGGGATATTACAGTGTAAATTGACACGCATTTGTTTGCTCCATATCATGAAAAAATAGATGCAGTACCATCTTTCAATATTTGAAAACAGAAAGTTCATTCTGTATGTATACAATAAAAATACATAATGGTTGATGCATAATGAAAAATGACCAATAACATACATCTTTTGAAGTAGGGGTATACAGGGACATAGTGGAAATTCAGAAATTTAGGCCATATCCCCAAGATTGCTTCACCAATATGTAACAGAACATCAAATTTATCATTTACACGTTTGCTGATAGGTTTATTGAAAATAATTAAACAGAGGTTTACTTCAATTGTGGCACCATTCTTAGTTAATATTGATGAACATACGAATATCGAATGTTGACTAAGTTACTTGGCTTGACCGATTACCCTTCGGTCAATATCATATTGTTCCTCGGAATAAAATCCATATTCAATCCCTCTCAGTAAATAACCTATATTGATACTTTATTTTTGGCACGGCGAAATTTCTTTCACATTTAGGAATTAAGATAAAACATAATATAGTTCAGCCACCAGAGGATAACTTTTATTTCCTTTCAGAATACAAATGTATTTTAGATGTTCAATATTAGGATAAACCCAACCTTTCCTGAGCATAATAGAATCGCTGCTTGATGAACCTAAAAAGTTCATATTCCAAACTCAACTTGTCAAGGATGGTTGAGCGAGTATTCTCGCCTGGGAGTTCATGGGAGTTTTCAAACTCATGGTATTCACCTGCAATTATAATAAATAAACTTTTTTCAATAATCTTAGACACGTTATTACTCGTTTCATTAGATCAGCAATATCATTTACCCCATTATTTAGAATTATATCCCTATTATAAAACACAATTGCTTGCAAAACAATAGCACTTATCCCATTATTTAGATTTATCCCCATTATGAAACATAATCCAAAAACGCGACCCCTAGAATGCATGATTCATACGATACTTACTTAATGCATCATACAGTGCAGTCACCCCTGTGAAATAGAATGGAAGGATTTGTTCGAATAGTCTGAGAGATCTCCGATAGTCTTCCATTAGTCCTATCACGGCATAGTGATTCACTATATTCCTCATTGCTTGGTGTAAGGCCTCGCGACTCTTCAAACTTTAACATGTTTAAAGAAACACAATTTTAATACAATTTTCAAGAATTTCTTGGTATTCTATATTCGAACCAGATGTTTGTGCGATTTGGGGTCTCTCTTAGTAAATCACTTTCTCGCTCATTCCTCTTATATTTTACAAAAATGGCAAATGATTAACTCTTTGTGGGTGTCTCTGGCCACCAGGAAAAGCTTGGAAAGGCGAAGGTGTACATCTTGATTCAAATAATATTGATTAATACTTTAGAAATCAAAGCTAAACATGTGCGAAAGAATAAAACTAAAATAGAACACTGCTTATGATAGAATTTGCAATTTGGACGACTGTGGCCTAAATATGATTTTTGCAAATTAGATGATATCCCATGGGCCTTCAAGAGAGGTTGAAATTCCATGGTTATCCGTATCAGCAATTTCATAGAGTTCTCATCCTAGTTCTATTTAGCTCTTGGTCAAACCTTCAACTTAAAGAGCAATATACTGCATTGCGTACATAGCTGCCAGTATACTGTATCTTAAAGAGTGAAGAATGCAATGACATGAACCATGAACAAGTACCTGCATAAGGAGTCGTGTCCACAAAAGTAACTCACAAGGGTGTGTGTTTCGTTGTGTCCCATACATTCTGGATCATTATCTACTATGCACTCTTCAAATGTCTAAAACAAAGCATGGATATATAAGGGTTATGTACTGGGAGGTTTTGGATATGGGGTTTGTCCAGAGGGATATATGCATATCTACCTGAGGGACCGTAGGGACCGAAGGTAGATGTGCATATCTCACGAGGGATGAAGATGAACCCTATATCCAAACCGACCGTACGTAACTGCTTTATCCTATACCAAGTTGAGTTTTCAGGGGCATATAGTCATTTCAATACTACAAGGTGTAAAAATATACAAATCGTTCATATGCAAAGTCATTTTATTGCATTATCGGAAGCGGGAAGATAAGCACCGGAAGCGGGGAGATATGCACCGAAGCGGGAGATATGGCGGGAGATACGGCGGGAGATATGGAGGTTCTGGATATGGACCTCAAAATCAGGATACGGGATATATCTTACCAACTTATCTCCCTAAAACTCTACTTGGCATAGGATAAATAAGGGTTATGTACTGGGAGGTTTTGGATATGGGGTTTATCCAGAGGGATATATGCATATCTACCTGAGGGACCGTAGGGACCGAAGGTAGATGTGCATATCTCACGAGGGATGAACCCTATATCCAAACCGACCGTACGTAACTGCTTTATCCTATACCAAGTTGAGTTTTCAGGGGCATATAGTCATTTCAATACTACAAGGTGTAAAAATATACAAATCATTCATATGCAAAGTCATTTTATTGCATTACCGGAAGCGGGAAGATATGCACCGGAAGCGGGAAGATATGCACCGAAGCGGGAGATATGGCGGGAGATATGGAGGTTCTGGATATGGAAACCTCAAAATCAGGATACGGGATATATCTTACCAACTTATCTCCCTAAAACTCTACTTGGCATAGGATAAACGTACATTAGCATATCAATCATTGGTAAAGGGTAAATGGGAACATTTGAATACTCAATCTACTCATGGTGCAATCGGAAAGCAGACCGTCAGCATTTACCCTGTTCCTTTGCTCATCAGTATAGTACACGTTTAAGAGCCCTGTATTTCGCTTGAAGTAGTAAAGCGACGCAAGTCTCTCCAGTGGGTCTCTGACTAGGTTAATATACACTGGCATGGGCTGATTGAATCTTGTGAAGTTTACAAAGTAGGTGTGTCTCTCGAAGAGGAATGGTATGGTAAACTTGGAGAACTTGTCTACCAACCACATCTGAAAAAATGGACTTAATCATTTTAGACATTCCATCAAAAGGAGACATATTAACAAGTGTTATTAACTTTATGATCATATATGGAACAGTAAAACCTTTTTATCCGAACACCTGGCTAATCCAAACATCTCCCAATCTGAACACTTATTTCCGTTCCGTTTTTTCCTCCTACTGACTCTCATGTTTAAAAAAATAAAATATGAAAACCTCCCAAAAACAGTGACCAATCATATTTGAAAAAATAACCTGCTGAACACTTTTTATAAAATATCACACGGAACATACAAAATTGCTCAAATATTTGAAAGTTAATGCTGATTTGTTTTTATCAAAACTTTTGGAAACCCCCTAAAATATGGTCTCAATCATAATGGGGCTTTTGGCAGCATGACTAGATTCATTTGAATCGAATATTCAAATTACTGGAGTGCCATAAAATTATGTGGTCAAAAGAATTATATACATTTATTGAGAATATTTTCAAAGGAGGAGGGAAAGTATCGCAACAGGTTTCAGACAATTATATGTTGGATTTTGGCTATTTTCTGAGGATTAAACAGGTGCATATGTTAGACCAATGCATTACCTCCAGGAAAAGCACTCCTAGATATGATAAAATAATTTCGACTTTGATAAAGGGAAGATGCAAACATCCCACCCACATGTTTTTTCTGGAATGTTTTCCTGATTTTCAACCCCTTGCATCCCTACTTTTTTTCTTTTTTCTTGCATCAATATGTTGTGCTTTGACACACAGTTAAAACCTTTAAAGGAATAAGTGATTCTTTTTAGATAAAGTGGAAAACAATATTTCCCATGTCATTTTCCCATAGGGAAAACTCATGCGATCCATTGCTTTCAGCTAATTTTGGTCACCCATAATGGATATCTTTAAAACCCCCGAAGGATTCTTTCCCTCCTCCTTTGTTCAAAATCCAGAATCTCGCGAATGCAAAAACCTCGAAATGTGAACACTTCCTTATCCAAACACTTTTAGCCGGTCCCAATGGCATTCGGATTAAACAGGTTTTACTGTATCTTTTTTATGAAGCCTTTAGCAAAACACGTTTGACTCATTTCTATCATGAGGCATTTCGAAAACCTGTTTTCCCTCATCCAAACTGTCCGTCCACTGCACACTCTTCTCTAACGTAAAGTTATTATATCTCGACAGCACCGTCATTAATCTCAAAAGAGTTGTTGATCCACATTTAGGTAGACGATTGTAAAACACTCGAGGTGGCCATGGCATTTTGTACTCTGCATGGTTATATTCCCTAAGAAGCCTCTTATCGGTCAATTCACTGATTTCTGCAGCACGTTTCCTTTCAATGAGGTCGATTCTGGCTTCTTTTAAAATCATCCTAATGACTCCAGCGTCGGGGGTTGTCTCATTCGACACATACTTATCTTTTCTCTGATCATATATCGCATCAAATATCTTCAAGTTTAAATTTGAGACTTGCTCTTTGAATAGTTTCAAGTGTAAGAACTGATTATATTCCATTTGGAGATACAGCATTGACATACTTGTTAGGATAAAGATCAATCCACATGTTAATATAAACAATATAAAAAATCCAAATGGAACTTTGATTATTTTCACTTTTCCAAGCATTTTAGCCTTATATACAGCTTTGTCCTTTGAGATGAATTGTTTTTTTCGTTACGTGTACTGTATATTGGCTTACATAACTTTGGTTTGCAAAATATATATAGATCTTATTCACTTTAAAACCAAGCGGGCAGTTGCAAGATTTTTCTTTATCCCGGGTACATTATACAAGGGGGCATTTCAAATCTCGATCTTCGTCTATATCATTTTAAAGGGATACGATCGTTAAATATCAGCTACTTTTGAGATGAAATATGTTTGATTTTACATTGATGATATCTTGGCATGTGCAAAAGTAAAATGCCCCCAGCACAAATTAACTGTTTTTGCCCAGTCTAAATCCATCAATCAAATAAAGCTATTACTAGAGTACAGTGTAGTACGAGATAATGGCGGGTGATTTACCTTACAGTCGCTTTTGGGCCAACACCCATTTGAAAAAAACAAAATTATGTCATCTTATGGAGACTATAAATATATTATGAATGTATATATGCTCACTGTATGGACAACACATACATGTAGGCCTAGACCGGATATGAGGGCAGTGACCCTATGGGGTAGCAGAAATTAGCCAATGGGCAATAAGAGGCCTAGGAAAGCGCCTTCGTGGATTTTATTAAAAACCAATGATTCAGTATTGCATCAAATCTCTGGAGTCTGGAGCCAATATCGGGGCCAATATATACTCCTGTGGAGCCCGGGACTTTTGAACCTCTTCTGTTTCGTTCAGTTCTTTTCCTTTCGCTGTAGCAAGATTTTACAGGAGTGTTCTTGTGTAGAAACAAAAGGGAGTAAAAATGACTTCTGTTCCTGATCGATTTTGTTATGTATATAGCTGTGATCTGGATGTAAATGTGCAGATAAAAATGTAAGTAAATGTAACATTTGCCAAATAAATCACAATCGCCCACGTTTCAACAATACGATTATGTACCTGAAACAATTTCCAGACTGTTCCAATTTAGACTAGATCTATTTATTTTTTTCAAAAATTGAATTGAAATGAAAATAAATTTAATTTCAATGATTATCGATAGCCTACACAGTTCTAAATTATTTTGTGACTGCTTTAATCGTGACAAAATCAGACTTAGATAAAGGATATATGATACTGTACCTTACCTTCAAGAAGAATTTGTGAAACCTTTTTACATTTCCATCAATTTATTTTTCTGGATGGTAAGAAAAATGATCTTTACAGTTTGTACAAACAAGAAGCCGATTTGAAGCACGAGGAAGCCTGGGCGTAGCACCTGGTATACCTGGCTGACTGGTACTTACTCGAGTCTCTAGCTTACAGCTAGACGAAACTTCATTAGGCATGTACTGTGCTACACGCACCTACACGCACCTAAAACTCATTTTTAATAAATTTTATAAATATTTTTAAGAATATTAATCATATTTAGGATGAAGCGTTGCTTGTTTGGATTTAGATATTTCAAAATTTCATTTCGGAGTTTGACACATGGTGAAATTTTCTCGCTGTAGCTAAAAATGGCTTCCGGTTCTGGACGTGAATAACATTTGAAATTATTCTCGCTTAAAGAAATCAAATATAACAATAGATTCAGACGGGGATGTGAGCTGATGTTCTTCAAATCTATACATAAAGGTATATTTCATATTATTATGCCATATTTACTGTGCGTGTGACACAATGATTTACAATATTTATAATACTAAGGCAGCTCAATCTTCCTCCTCAAAGCCGGAATATAGAGAAGGCTTTGGACCGAAGTAAACTGGTACACACAGGTGTACCAGATGGTTGAAAATACACTCCAAATAATCTACAACCTAACTTCACTTCACTTTTTCACTTCACTCAACTTGTATTCCCAATGCCCGGGGGGTTCACTATACAAGACATTCTTTAACAACAACACTATATACAAAATTGACGGTGGTCCTAGGCTGAACCCTCAGATATCAATATATTCCAATACCGATCTGTCAAATTTCGAAGTGTTCCCATACCAACCAAAATAACGCCCAAACACCATAACAAATGTCAAAATATAAGACCAATGCCATACCACATGTCCAAATATAGGACCAATGCCATACCAAATATCAAGATATAAGAGTGCCAAGGCCATTCAAAATGTCTAAAGCCCTGTAGACATGTAATAAGAAGGCAGATCTTTGAGGAAAACGATCCAAAACGATCCTACTAGACCAATGCCATACCTCAAGTGGCTCGTAATATATTTTCTATGACCATTCTCATACCAGAAAGTAGAAAAATCCAACCATTGCCATACCTCAAAAGTCATAATTTTGGGGGCGTTCTCATACCAGATCCTAAAAGTTGGGTCCATTACCATACCATACGTCAAAAAAGGTACCCCACGTGCAAGGAGGATCCCCGTCAAGGTTTATATACAGTGAACCCCTGGGTCTCAATGATGGCATTCTTCGCATAAAATAGCACTCCACCCATGGGAAGATGTAGACTTTACATAAAATCTCTGACGTAAATCATAAATTTGAACAGCTTATTTGCAAATGTTTGCAAGAACTTTGAATCTAGCATATTATCAATATTGTGAATTGCCTGTGGATACTTGGGAAATAATAAAACAAATGTTGAATGATTGAGATCCTTGGGGCAGCGTTAAATTGCACCCTCAAAAATACATACACGTACAGCAATCCATCTCTACATCATTCGTTCTATATTATTATATACTTGCAGCGGCACTCTAGAAGGTGTACGTGATAAACCTAGCTACAATGAGCTGATCGCTGATCCCATGTTGAAATACTCTGGTGTCTACCAAGATGACTGCTCTGATATGTATGTGACGTGCCAGGTCTACTCTGATGGTAAACCACTCGCTCTAGCCACACAGACATCTTATAAAGCATTCACAACTCGCTGGAAGTATGTATTCTGTACCATGCATATACAACATTGTATGTAACACTATATGTGTCTGTGCCATCATTTGAGACTGATTACTCTATCAATTAAGGAGGAATACTTGTACCTACAACTATTTTTGATGTTTATGAGTATTGTTTATCAAGTAAAATTTATTCTTCATTCTTTAAAATGTACAGTGTATTGTAATGACTTTAGCATGAATAAAATGTCCCTTGTTGTTATGGTTTCAGATTGTGATTATAGCACTTGAATGGTGGGGGGGGGTATGAGACATTGTTTCTTTTCACGTTTCATAATACTTTGGGATAGTTGGGGTTTGTTTAACTTATGACTCAGACTGGTATTCTTTTAGATGTTTTCTTAATTGCTGTCATCTGTAACAATATTCTGTTTACTTAAAGTGGTAAAAAAAGACAAGAATGAGAAGACTAAAGGTTAAAAAGTCCATCTATTTACAATATTTTTGCCGATACAATGAACAATTATGTACAGCATGCATATCATCACACTTTCTCAAAAAATATTTCAGATTTTAATTCACGAAATGGTTTGAATGTTAAGGTTATCAGTTATTTCACAGTAATTTTGAAACGGGGTCTTTGACTTTTTAATTTGAGTGATTATGCACATTTTCCCATTTGTCAAACTTGGCACAACTACATGTATTGCTGCTACTGTAAAATGCTCACAAGATGAGTCTAGGTTAGAACCCTTGATATGGTGTGACATGAAATTCATGAAATCATTTTCACAAATCTTACATACTTTATTTTGCATTATCACTAGAATTTTGCATTCAGATAACAAAATTATTATCAGTGATAAAATCAAGAATCATATAACTGTATAATCAGCTTTAAATTAAACTAAATTGCTATGTTTTTTCTGTTTTAGCTGGAATGAATGGTTGACCCTGCCAGTGAAATACAGTGACTTGCCACGAAATGCCCAAGTGGCACTGACCATATGGGACATATATGGCCCCAGGAAAGTAGTTCCAGTAGGGGGCACTGTTGTTTCATTGTTTGGCAAAAATGGGTAAGATTTCATGTACATATCATTTTGTCTAGCCTTGCTTGTTTCAGTTGTGGTATTGTGAAGTATGGAAGTGTTAATATAAGCAAATGCCATTATTAATGTCATCAAAACTTATTTAGAAGGTGTGAGATATTTGCACTTTGTCTTGTATATTTGGATGTGAAGACCAGTGGAGAATGCTTGCCTTTAGACATTGTATCTGATACCTCAGAACAAAGAGGAGATTACCAAACAATGTAAATGATCACTGAAATCACCAATTGATTGACACCAAATTGATTGCAGAACATTTGCACAGGTTGTTCTCATATTAGAAGAAGAGATACCTTAGTTTTGAATTAAAAATGTTGAAGTGAAATTAGTAAAAATTCATGAATAACTATAATTTCCATTATTGTCACATTTTGTGTAAAAATTAACTAACTTTAACATGATCGTATCATGCAAATTTATTCAGCTCGTGAACAGTTCATAAAGCACCTCTGGGAGCCAGGTAACGTTCGCTTACATATTGGTGTAATATGATTCGCAACCACCTGTGAACCAATCAAAACTCAGAACTCTATACCCTTTCTAATTTTACTGCACATGTTTTTTTACTGATATAGAGAATTAATATGTGAACATATGAGACGTTTTTAGTTATACCTTTGAAATTTGATGATAGTAAATGTAACTTTTTCATCATATTACTCTTTGATGTTCTAAGATGAATTTGAGAAATGTTGTTTTAGGACGTTTCGTCAGGGTATGCATGATCTCCTTGTCTGGCCTAATGAAGTATAATAGTATATACCACATTGAGAAATGTTGTTTTAAGACGTTTCGTCAGGGTATGCATGATCTCCGTGTCTGGCCTAATGAAGTATAATAGTATATACCACATTGAGAAATGTTGTTTTAGGACGTTTCGTCAGGGTATGCATGATCTCCCTGGCTGGCCTAATGAAGTATAATAGTATATACCACATTGAGAAATGTTGTTTTAGGACGTTTCGTCAGGGTATGCATGATCTCCCTGGCTGGCCTAATGAAGTATAATAGTATATACCACATTGAGAAATGTTGTTTCAGGACGTTTCGTCAGGGTATGCATGATCTCCTTGTCTGGCCTAATGAAGTATAATAGTATATACCACATTGAGAAATGTTGTTTTAGGACGTTTCGTCAAGGTATGCACAATCTCCGTGTCTGGCCTAATGAAGTATAATAGTATATACCACATTGAGAAATGTTGTTTTAGGACGTTTCGTCAGGGTATGCATGATCTCCCTGGCTGGCCTAATGAAGTATAATAGTATATACCACATTGAGAAATGTTGTTTTAGGACGTTTCGTCAGGGTATGCATGATCTCCCTGGCTGGCCTAATGAAGTATAATAGTATATACCACATTGAGAAATGTTGTTTTAGGACGTTTCGTCAGGGTATGCATGATCTCCCTGGCTGGCCTAATGAAGTATAATAGTATATACCACCTTGATACTTGATACTATATACCACCTGTATACCACCTTCAGGGCTTGCATTAACGGCGTCCCTTACATGTAAGTGACGCAAAAAAAAATTGTAGGACGGAAAAATAAAAAATATTTCCGTTTTTGGGACGGAAAAAAAATTGAGTCAAAACTTTGAACATTTTTTGAAAATCTTGAAAATCTCAATAGTTGATCATGTTTGACTTCTTTGAGGTGTATATTAAGATCAAAATATGTGAGATTTACAACTTTATTTTGAGTAAAAAAGAAAAAGAATGCAGAAAAACGAACTATTGTAATGGGCGATAATAGCATAATTTGCATGTGACATATTTTTCTCACTGAAAAGCTGATATAAAACCTTCAAAATGAGTTCAATTGTACAAATGATGCATACTTACCTAGGTGAAGTAGTCTATTTGTGATTATATAACGTCAAAATGGTCTAATTTATGATATAAATCAGAGGATTCTGATCATGTAGAAAATGTACACTAAATTACTGAGCGTCAGACAAATTCATACTAAAAAATGTTCTTATTTTTTCAAGCAGTTGTTCAGTGCAAACAGCAAGTATAAAGATAATCACAGTATAATAGTACTTACTATAACAGGCTGGAGGTTACATAACATAAGTGAATTGAATATAAAGAACATGTTTAAATCACAGGGCATGAATGGCAACATTTTGAAAACACATAAGACATGTAAGATCAAGTCATGCACATTCCAAAATAGCCCATTATAGCTAATTTAGCTAATTTAGCTTATATATTGGAGGACACACTTTTTTCGGTCGGGACTCACTTTTTAAAATTTTTTCCTTCATTGTGACTCACATTTTTCAGAGCCTAATGCAAGCGCTGCACCTTGTTGTTTTAGGACGTTTCGTCAGGGTATGCACGATCTCCGTGTCTGGCCTAATGTTGAAGCAGATGGGTTAGAGCAGACAACCACACCTGGCAAAGTTGGTGGAGCCACTGATGAAATGAGTCGACTTGCAAAGGTATCCATTATGTATGACAGAGAAAGGCCATGCATTGAGTGTTTAAAGCATTGGCATATCTTTTTAGGGGGCAGGTTTAAATTTCTACCCCTGATGTAAAAAGAAATTGGTTACTATGTTGTGGGTGCATTATGGATGTTTATAAACCCAACAAAATTCTCAACTTATAGGTGCATTAACTATCAGTTCAAAGAGTTGTTAGTCAGAGAGTGTCAGTATCTTTAAGAGAGTAACCTGCCATTCCATTTAATTTCTCCTATAAGTTCTTTTCTGCTTGAAATGGACACAGTTTTCCGGCAGCCATTTTGGTGTTGAATTGTAATGTATTCTGATTATATTGCAAAATGTATTCATGAATAATGATTTACTCATTAATTTCCTGAAAACATTATCTTCTTGATAAATTGTGGCCACTTTTACTAATTTCATTTTCTGCCTTTCACATTTACTCAAAAATTAATTGAACAATGTTAGTGATATGGTATTTGTAAGCACTTTGAAGCAATTAAGATTCTGATGATAAAGTAGAATACCTCTGTTAGTGGAACACTTTTTAGAGTCCCAAGACAACTAACTTAATGTTAAATGAACCTCCAAAAGTGCAACACCTCCTGAGTGGAATACTTTTTAGAGGTACTGAAGGTGTTCCACTTAGACATGTTTTACTGTCAACTACTGTAGGAAGATATAAAACTATTATTCTAGTTGACCAAAAAGCACAGGAATGGGCACATGGTGAAGGTGGATTGGCTGGATCGACTGACATTTCGTGAGATTGAGGTCATCAATGAGAAACAGAAGAGAGACTCCAATTTCATGTACCTTATGATCGAGTTCCCACAGATACATTATGATGGCACAAAGTTTGCTGTTGTCTATTTCGAAAAGGTAAGATGATGAATACAGCTGATTTTGGGCTTGTTGATTAACAATTTTCTTGATTGTTAGTTTTAGTTTTTATGGTTTCTTTATTTTACTTTACAAAATTATCTACAAATGACAGGGCCGAGGCTGAAATCAGCATTATTGGCCCTGTTAATACAAAGTTTATTCAAATTTACAAAATAGCAACAAAATGACTACCAACATATATGTATGCATGGCAGGAATGTGTTAAAACTATATAATTATATCAATGCATTCACACAAAAAGGATGTAAAATGCTTCAATATTGAAGAATTGCATGTTATGCTAACTCCATCTCTGCCATACATTAAGATATTCAGCTTTTGCTCTATAGAGCATCCTGTAAAGAAAATGTTCATTTCTGGCATGTTCCTGAGTTCCCCCCAAAGTTTCTCTCTTATAACATTCAACAGAGGGCATTTGAAGATTAGATGCTTTGTAGTTTGTTGTTTAAAACCACAGATGCATTTGGGACTGTCAATACCTTGAAAATTATGTTGAAAAAGATGACCAGTAAAAATGAAATCACATCTTGTTCTATTCAGTAAAATTTCTTCTTTTCTTGTAAGATCCAGTTTTGTGGTTGTTAAATGCTTCATTGTTCCTGAATATTTACATAAATTGGTTTTGAAAGTGACTCTTGATGGTGCACTTTTTAGATAATTTGGAATGGCTTCCCATTCTCTTATGGCATTTATTATTGGTGACTTTTGTGAACGTGCAGTTAACTTTGGAATAGTGTATTCTCTTGATTTTCCCAAGTTAATATAATGTTGCTTATTTTGATAACTATCAAAAATTTTTTGAACATAAGTTGGGACCAATTTCTGTCTAACATCATACATTAAACGTAAACGTTTCTCCTTTCTCCGCTCAGACAGGGTATTCCAATTTAGACATGATTGTTAAAGTCAGTAGTATGGAAAAGTTCTGTATTTGTTATTAATTCAATATACCCACAGATGGGTAAAGAGAATAAATAGATGTAAATTTACATTGAGTATTAATTGAGATTAATTGAAGAGCGTAACATAGACCTTATTTTAGAATGATAATGGGATTGTCCCTGTATAATAAGACAATATACTAAGATAGATAATATTTCAGGATGCTGATGAGATGGTCCCTGTAAGACAATATGCTGAAATTGTTACTGTGCCTGACCCTGAAATAGGAAAGGTATAAACTTATTTTTAGATTCCATCTTAAGTATAAGTTGAATATTCATTGAGAACTGTATGTTTTGTAGTATTTGAAGGGATTAATATGTACTTGAATGGACTGTAATACAGACTACATAGCCCCATGTGTGTAAACGCTTCTTTCAAAATTCCAGGAAATTTTTCAATGCAAGAACAGACTAGTGCCAAGATCTAATTAGGTTTTGGACATGCTGGGTAAATCACTTGGTGGTAATTTTGAATTTTTGATAAAAAGTGCAATATTTATCGCTGTGTCTATTTTTCAAATATTGTGTGATACAAGGTGCCGACACTTTGTCATGTTAAGCCATGTCTTGTTTATAAGTGACAACAGATATAACTGCAGTATTGATAGTTCATTTATAGTAACTCATTATAATTTCTTTCTTCACTTTTCAGGAGAATCTTGTAGAAAGCAAGCACCACAAACTTGCCAGGAGACTGAGAAGTGCACCCACAGACAAGGACCTCAAGCCGAATGCTGCAGTGAGAGATCAGCTTAATGTGAGTATACAATGAATACTGAATAGCATTTAAATGGACATGTATCTAGCTTAATGTGAGTTTACAATGAATACTGAATAGCATTTAAATGGACATGTATCTAGCTTAATGTGAGTATACAATGAATACTGAATAGCATTTAAATGGACATGTATCTAGCTTAATGTGAGTTTACAATGAATACTGAATAGCATTTAAATGGACATGTATCTAGCTTAATGTGAGTATACAATGAATACTGAATAGCATTTAAATGGACATGTATCTAGTTTAATGTGAGTTTACAATGAATACTGAATAGCATTTAAATGAACATGTATCTAGCTTAATGTGAGTATACAATGAATACTGAATAGCATTTAAATGGACATGTATCTAGCTTAATGTGAGTACTTTGCACATAAAATACATGTACATGTATTATAAATTCAATGTGAATATATGGACATTCACTGTGTGATATTCTTAATTGTTCATTGCCATCAGTTTTAAACATATATTTATACTCTCCTTGTCTCTAGTATGTGTTTTGCATCACTCATCATAACCCACATACTTTACAAGGCTCATTAGGGGCCTAAGATTCTATTTCTTTGAATGATGATGTAAAGGAATGATTCATTCATAGGAAAACATCACTTAGGCATCAACATTCATGTAAATGTATAACCATCCTGTTGTTTTTTATGTTAGGTAATTGTGAGCTACCCTCCAACCAAGCAACTAACTAGTGAGGAACAGGACCTTATATGGAAGTTTAGATTCTACCTATCTGCACAGAAAAAGGTATGACATATCGTATCACAATACAGTGTTAGTTTTGCACAAATCTGTATAAATTGTCTTGTGGTTTACCTGGTTTTCTGTTTGAAAATGGGTCACATTCTGAAACGTAATTGTCATGCATATAAATATTTAAGAAGCATGTAAGCATGTTTAAGATCAAAACTTCAATTTTTTGAGTCAAGTTTGAAAAACTATCAAGACAGAATTGAAGGAATTTAGGCTTTTCTGCATGATTTCAACCTTTAAATTTCAATGAAATTAACCAAAAAAGAGGCCTTCTTTTGGCCTTCCATCTGTGATACTATGTGTTTTGTGTATTCCACTAGGCCCTGACCAAGTTCCTGAAGTCAGTAGCATGGAGTGTGCCTCAGGAGGAGAAGCAGGGCTTAGACATGATGTACAAGTGGAGCCCAATGGATGCTGAAGATGCCTTAGAGCTTCTGTCTCCTGCATTCACCAACCCAGCTGTGAGAAAGTACGCTGTAAGCAGACTAATGCAGGCAGATGATGAGGTAGTGTATATGTATGATAGAGCACAGTAGAACCTGTATATCTGAACACCTTTCTAATCAAACATCTTTCAATGCAAACGCTTTTACTCTGGCAAAAACATCCATGTTCAAAAACCTTGATGTGTAAACACATGTTAATCCTAACACTTTTGGTTAGACCCAGTGGCATTCGGATGAAACAGGTTTTACACTTACTACCTTCTTCTTGTATCTTGTTACTCTGCTCATGTATTCATGTACTGATGTATTGTCTTCAGGAACTACTGTTGTACTTACTACAACTGGTGCAGGCACTGAAGTACGAAGACTTTGATGTGATTCGTGAAGGTTTGAACCACATATCTGCCCCAGTTGAGAGTCCCAGGAAAGAGTCTGATCCCAGTCAACTTGGAGAGGAATCTGATACTCAGTCGCTTTCACAAAGGTTGGTTGTATTACATTGAAATTAAAAGCTCCAGTGCACAATTTAGGGGGTTGTGTGTGGAATAGGTGTCATTACCCAAAAATGATTGAAATTGTTTGATTTATTAAAAAATTCACCAAGATGCACTGCATCTTGTTGATTCAACCATGTGCCATCCATAATTGATTTGATTTTCATTAAGAAGTCATCTTTTGTCAACATCCAATATTGATACAAAAAACAATTTTGTTCTTGTAACTGCATGAGTAAATGAGCCCTAATGGCCTCCCATTAATGGATTAAGGACATAACTGAAAACCTCTGAATCAGACCCTGGTTTACTATGTATGCGATGCAACAATGGCACACAAATCATATACTCCTATAGTTAATGTACACATTTTCATATTTTCACTTATTTTCATGTTTTTCACAAATCGGAAGGCAATTGCACTATGTATTGTATTGTAATATGTATTGTGTTGTAATATGTATTGTATTGTATTGTATTGTATTGTATTTTAATATGTTGCAGGTCTCCCAGTATTGGATCGAAGGATAGTGGGGATATTCTAGATGAGCTCTCCATAGAGAGACCTTCACACTCTACAACAAATAAACATGTAAGTTATAAACACCAATATATTGCAGAAAAGTTCTACATAACATCGTATGTGGTGGTATTTCATTTACAAAGAAGTTGGTATTTTGCATGATACATGTTAACTAATAGACTATAATAACTCTATCCTGTTATTACATTGTAGACTGACCTTGCAACATGCCTCATAGAAAGGGCTTGCAATAACTCTATTCTGTTATTACATTGTAGACTCGACTCGACCTTGCAACATGCCTCATAGAAAGAGCTTGCAATAACTCTATTCTGGCAAACTATTTTTATTGGTAAGAAAAATCCATTTTTTTCAAAACCAGTATTTCCTTTTTCTAAAAAAAACGTTGATGGATTTTATGGGATTATTAATGCTGATGCTAAATTAGCATTTCTTCTGGTTTGTTGGTGTAAAATTGGGTTGCATGGAATAAATATTTACCTCAGGCTTGTCAAAGTAAACGACCTAGCTATATGCTAAAACCAGTTTTCATTTCTGAATCTTGAGGATTTTGGTGTATATTAGAAAACAATTTTTAAAGTTTAAAAGGGCCTTCCATATAATTCTGTCCTTGAAAACAATTCTCTCGAGTTTGGACATGTTGATTTTTCTAGACTTTCAGAATATTTTGATATGTTATCCAAACCAACCAAACCTCTCCCTCACTAACAATAAAATTGAACCACCTCCCACTAAAAAGCTTGTACGGGCCTAAGGAATAAAGTAATTTCAGCTGATCCCCTATTACATTTCTTTGCCAGGTTCTTATTGGTGGAATGTGACGACCAGGACTCCCAGGCCAAAGACCCAAAGGTTATGGACATGTATATCTCAGTATTGAAACGCTTCAGTCAGACACTTAGCAAGGTAAGGTTATGGACATGTACATCTCTTTATCGTATGATCTGTAAAATGAAGCCCTCTGATTGGTCAGTTATTGTGCTGTACCAATCTGTATTGCTACTGAGGTTGTCCCCGTTGATCATCTCCGTCGCAATACAGAAAATATTGGTACGGAGTGGACAATCTCAGTAGCAATACAGAGGATCACACGATAAAAATGTTATTGAATGATTTGAACTGCAATACAGGATATATTCTGTCTCGATATTCTGTATTGGCACTCGACTTCGTCTCGTTCCAATACAAAATTTCTCGCACAGAATATATCCTGTATTGCACTCCAAATCATTCAATAACTTATAGTATTGAAACACTTCAGTCAGACACTTAGCAAGGTATGATATATCAGTCCAGAGGTTTCATTATTTTGAAAACATTTACACCAATTTTGAGTTTATGAATTGGGAAATATTTATAGATTCCCAGGAATCAAGATCTGACCTGTACATTGAAAATAAAGCGAATAAGCCTTGGTTAGCTTTTAAGATGTCTAGTTATTTTCTAGGGAGGCCAGGAACACAGACATCGCAGGGCTTGTATAGCAGGTCAGCAGGCCTTCATGGACAGACTTGTGCAGGTGGTTAAAGCAGTAGCAAGGGAGAGTGGCAATAGGAAAAAGAAGGTACTGTGGTGCTGGCTTTTAAATTCCTAAAAACCTCACTTCTAGGTCCGTTTTTGTCACGTACCTTAAAAGATGACAATATTTGAGTTATAGCGGTCCTTATAAAGATGGCAGCCCAATTGAAACGAACAGCACATGAGTACAGTAACATGATCAGCCTTTAATGACCATTAAGGCAGCATTATAATTACACTAACCAAGAATGTCCCTTCAACTACCAATGTATAGTTTCTGCACATATTTATAGGTAGAAAAGCTGCAGTCATTGTTGACAGACCAAGAAGTGTCCCGTTTTAACTTCACTAATTTTGATCCATTACCATTGCCCCTTGACCCTGAAGTTAAAGTCAAAGCCATAGCTGCAGAACATGTGACACTGTTAAAGGTGAGTCCTCAGCTATTGTCTCAGTCACATTTGCTCTAAGGCAACCTAAGGCATTAATTAATGGGATTCAATGCTATTTCTCCTGGCATCTAGTCTATTTCATCCCTTTAACATGGTATACATATTTGTAAAAAGTTAAGATAGTTCCAAGACATTCAACCATGACCTCCATTATTACATTTCACTATCAACATTTTGTGTTCGTATTGTAGAGTCAACTGATGCCGTGTAAGCTCTACTTCAAGACAGTTGACCGTGACGACCATTATTACATCACACTATTCAAACATGGGGATGATTTACGCCAAGATCAGCTCATCATACAAATGATCATCCTAATGGACAAGTTAATGAGACGTGAGAACTTGGACCTTAAGCTCACTCCATATAAGGCCATCGCTACAAGCTGCAAACATGGTGAATATCTCATATGATGTAATTAGTATGAATATATGATTCACTATTAGTTGATACCATTTGTAGTCACCCTTTAGAGTACCATTTAGTGTACATGTATCATACAATGTATTATACTGTTTAATTGAAATATTTTAATTTTTGAATTTTCAAAAAGTTGTAGTTCTTCATTATTAAATTGTAAAGTGTTTATTTTCAGGATTTATACAATTCATAGATTCCATGCCAATAGCTAACATAGTTGATGAACACACTAATATCTTGAACTACCTACGCAAATACAACCCTGTAGAAAATGGGCCTTATGGTATAGCACCAGAAGTTATGGATAACTATGTAAAAAGTTGTGGTAAGATTCAGCAAGATACTATCTGCTTTATTCAATCACTTTGAAATATTATATGCTAGCTTTTGATAAACATGAACCTATACAGTATCACTCTCTAAAGTCCTGAGTGTATTAAACATGAAAAATCCATTAACAATGGAGAACATTGACTTTTTGTTTTATTACACCATTTCCAGTTCAAATGTACCTTACTGTAAATGTTACTATGATTGTAAACGTATGCATTACTGATATTGCAAAATGAACATAAAGAAATAATAGTACAAAATCATGTATGCCATCTTTCAACTCAGTTATATGTATTACAGCTGGTTACTCAGTAATCACATATCTGCTTGGGGTTGGAGATAGGCATCTGGATAACATCCTCATCGCTAACAATGGTAAGGAACTGAAAGAAGAAGTTTACTTGCATTTCTAAACCTAGTTGGCCTATTTAATCTTTAAATGATGAAATAATAGCCTAGCTCAATATCTTATCTAGGTTTAGCAAGGCAAGACATAAATTGAAATAGTGTTTACATGTTTACTTAACATATGCCATATTTTGTTGTCTTGTCTGAAGCTTTTGCGATTTTCTTTAATTAAAGACATTAATATGGGTCGTCGTATTGTAGGCAAATTGTTCCATGTAGACTTTGGCTATATCCTGGGTAGGGACCCAAAGCCTATGTGACATTGTTCATTGTTTTGCAGGCAAGTTGTTCCATGTAGACTTTGGCTATATCCTGGGTAGAGACCCAAAGCCTATGTGACATTGTTCATTGTTTTCAGGCAAGTTGTTCCATGTAGGCTTTGGCTTTATCCTGGGTAGGGACCCAAAGCCTATGTGACATTGTTCATTGTTTGCAGGCAAGTTGTTCCATGTAGGCTTTGGCTATATCCTGGGTAGGGACCCAAAGCCTATGTGACATTGTTCATTGTTTTGCAGGCAAGTTGTTCCATGTAGACTTTGGCTATATATCCTTGGTAGAGACCTAAAGGCTATGTGACATTGTTCATTGTTTTGCAGGCAAGTTGTTCCATGTAGACTTTGGCTATATCCTTGGCAGGGACCCAAAGCCTATGTGACATTGTTCATTGTTTTGCAGGCAAGTTGCTTTTGCAGGCAAGTTGTTCCATGTAGACTTTGGCTACATCCTGGGTAGAGACCCAAAGCCTATGTGACATTGTTCATTGTTTTGTAGGCAAGTTGTTCCATGTAGACTTTGGCTACATCCTGGGTAGGGACCCAAAGCCTATGTGACATTGTTCATTGTTTTGCAGGCAAGTTGTTCCATGTAGACTTTGGTTACATCCTGGGTAGGGACCCAAAGCCTATGTGACCTTGTTCATTGTTTTGCAGGCAAGTTGTTCCATGTAGACTTTGGTTACATCCTGGGTAGGGACCCAAAGCCTATGTGACATTGTTCATTGTTTTGCAGGCAAGTTGTTCCATGTAGACTTTGGCTATATCCTTGGTAGGGACCTAAAGCCTATGTGACATTGTTCATTGTTTTGCAGGCAAGTTGTTCCATGTAGACTTTGGCTATATCCTGGGTAGAGACCCAAAGCCTATATGACATTGTTCATTGTTTTGCAGGCAAGTTGTTCCATGTAGACTTTGGCTACATCCTGGGTAGGGACCCAAAGCCTATGTGACATTGTTCATTGTTTTGCAGGCAAGTTGTTCCATGTAGACTTTGGCTATATCCTGGGTAGGGACCCAAAGCCTATGTGACATTGTTCATTGTTTTGTAGGCAAGTTGTTCCATGTAGACTTTGGCTATATCCTGGGTAGGGACCCAAAGCCTATGTGACATTGTTCATTGTTTTGCAGGCAAGTTGTTCCATGTAGACTTTGGCTATATCCTGGGTAGGGACCCAAAGCCTATGTGACATTGTTCATTGTTTTGTAGGCAAGTTGTTCCATGTAGACTTTGGCTATATCCTGGGTAGGGACCCAAAGCCTATGTGACATTGTTCATTGTTTTGCAGGCAAGTTGTTCCATGTAGACTTTGGCTATATCCTGGGTAGGGACCCAAAGCCTATGCCATCTCCTATGAGGTTAAGCAAGGAAATGATAGAAGCCATGGGAGGCATGAACAGTGAACACTTCCTGGACTTTAAGAAATTATGCTACACTGCCTTCCTAGCTTTGAGAAGGTGAACACATTTATGAAAAGTATATCCAGAGACACAAGTAGTAAAAAGTAAAAACAAAACAATGTGGTTTCAACCCTCACCTGGCTAAAATAAAAAAGGATATTGTAAAAATATGAAATTTATAGTAAGGTAATAGTTAGGTGTGCGTTCATGAATGTTAAAAGAATAAATGAGAATATCTTCAGTTCATGAACATCTTTGATTTTTGATTTATATTGTATTTATGATAATCCAACAAAGTGATTGATATAATAAAGCCAACAAATGTTCTTTTAGGTCAGCAAACTTAATTCTGAACCTGTTCTCTCTGATGATTGATGCTAATGTACCAGATATCGCACTTGAGCCTGATAAAACTGTCAAAAAGGTAAGTTAATATCAAAACACTGATACATTCACAAAATAATTTTGTGTAATATTGCCCCATATCATTCATTGTCATGTTAAGGTTAATATAACCATGACATCTAGGATACATTGTTTTGTGTAATATTGAACAAATATTTCACTCTATTGAGGTGAATACCTGTACATCTTTCACAAGTGATATTCCACGAAGCCCGAAGGGCAAGTGGAATATCACCTTGTGAAAGTGCTACAGGTATTCACCAAAAATAGAGTGAAATATTTGTTTTATTATATCACTGTCTAGCTAAACATCCCTAATATTATTAAGTCATAGGTTAACATTGAAATACATTGAATCTACTCGGTTCGTCTGCCATTTTGACTTACACTGAACTAAATTATTTACACTGAACAAAAACAAATTCTTTGAAAATTCCCGGGAGCGTGGGATATCGCTAGATATCTCACGGTTGTCTTATCTGATTAGCATTGCCATTGAATATCGCCAGATATCCCACGACATGTGACCTGGTTTTGACCAATCATACTGTCGCTAGCTAGATAGTGATATAATAATGCCTCATATCATTCATAGAGGTCAGTCACAGACTAAGGCCTTACAAACAGGATGATAGATATCCGAGACCTGTAATCGCTAAACTTAAATGGAGGGGCGGAAAGGATAATATCATATCGAACAGGAAAAAGCTTAAGGGGTCGAACATTATCGTGTATGAGGACCTGAGTCCCATGAACAGGAAGTTACTACAAGAGGTCAAAGAGCACCCAGATATCGAACAACAATGGTCAACAAACGGGAAAATCCTTGGAAGGCTAAGGAGTGGGGACATTGTCCTATTTAACGTTGGCAGCGAGGTCAGTGATACGATTACACAGCACCGTCGTAGCAGGGCCAGTGCACCTGACGCAAATACCAGCAGACCACAAACTTCTGCCCATCGCGGCGGAGCCAGAGGAGGACAAAGGACATAAACTAGCTTGTCAGAATGGTTTATAAATGACTTTGTCGTCAAAAACTTTCACGCGAGTGGTAGTATGAATGTTTTCTATTACCATATGCATGATACATGTACATACATTCATGCATTTCATTGACTGATTTAATTGAGTCGATCCAATGGTTTCATCTAGTGCCTATTAATTTTTTTACTTTTCTAGTACTGCATATACTGAACATTCTTGTGGTGTCTAAATATAAGTATTCAAAGTGTGCATCAACAGAGAACATATCTTTTTCATAACAGCTGATCTGGTAGGACCACGTGCATTTGTTGATAAACAGTAAGGTCACGCAAGTGCGCATGCGCAATGACACATTTACTGTACAGTACAGTTAAGTTACCGTGCCAAAGTTTCACATGATTGTCGTTGTTATTACATTTCGGCAATTCGGAAAGATATGGGATAAATTCATTGCAGTAATTTTAAGGTACGTTATCCATCTATATTCAAGTTTAGTCACTGTAGCTTTTTAATTAAACTGAACAGTGAATGTGAACTCGCCATGTGTCATGAGCTTTCTAACCAGTACACCGTTTTTGACTTGCTGAAAAGCCAGAGCCAAATTATTCTGTTACATCGAAAGGCAGTAAAATACCAGCATTTGTATACAAACAGGGCCTATGGATAATGTTTTATGCGTGTGTTTTTAGATCTATTTTTATGTTCAACTACTTGCACAGTGTACTGCAATGTTTATAATATAATTAGGTTACATACAGCTATAAGACTACATACACGTATGCGTAATATTGTGATCGATTACCCTGCACACACTTGGTGGCGTCCTTATAGGAGCTATCGGGCCTTCGAGGTTTTGAAAACATAACGCTATTTAGTGATTGGCTGGCGTATGAAGGTTATTACTTGTTTGCAGAGTGACGGGATAGTTGCTAAACATGAGAGGGTAGTATTTTGTTCAAATTTAACATTGAATATCTATCTTATTTTTTGTTGTTCTCTTTTATATCATCTACGATTATAATGAAGCAGTTTGCATTATGTAATGTTACTTGAACTGTTACTTAGTATATGGACTGACCAAGAAATTGAGTTTTTTTCCCATTGAACTATAGTGGGTCTTTCCTTGCTGATTAATAGCTTGTTGCATTTATGACATCATCTAGACTTAATACCAATGTCAGATCTGCCTGGATTAGTTTTCTGAATATTACAGTTTATGTGACTCTTAGAACTTCTGGCAGGACACTTAACTCTAAATCAGTTTGTCTTGAATTGTTTTCTCATGGGCATTTCTTGTTGTTTTTGTTGCAGAATGAATTAATTGTTGGTTGTAGTCCTGCAAGAGATGGCATTGGATAATGCCTGTTAGTTTACAAATTTGGAGATCAGCAGTGGGGCTCTTCAACTCATATAGTATTTCAGCTTTCCATTCAGAGCAGAAATCACCAAATTATGTCTTTGATATCCAAATGTTTATTTTAACCCTCATACTAATCTGTGTAGGGTTATATTGCTTATTGACAAATAATTACCCTGTTTTATTGAAATATTTAGTGTTTGCCACAATCTTTACAAGCCATGTTGCCAACATATGCCTTTGTTCCATGATGCTATACGGTATATTCAAGAAATTGTTAGGGAGACATCGAAATTTATCTTTAGTTATTGCCAAAACTGCTGTAGTAGTTGCAACTTTAAGTTGTGTTCCTGGAACAACATTGCTCTTTTTTAATCCTAGTATCATATGTCAACTGCTTCTTCTCATGTCAGGAGATGTTGAGAGCAATCCTGGTCCAATGGATAATTTAAAGATTTTATTTAGTAATGTTAATAGTATCAAGGCAGATTCATTTGCTAGGCTAGAGTATCTTAAAGAATATGCATCGAGAGAGAATTGTCACATAATATCACTTTGTGAAACAGGCAATGTTACCACGGATGATCTAGAATCAAATATGTTTAATATAAGAGGTTTTGGCAAACCAAAGTATTCAACGAACGAGGGAAGAGGCCTTATTCTATGGGTTCATGATACTGTTCAGACTAACGTATGTGAGTTGGACATGTCTAAAGATCTAGCAAATTGCTGGATATCAATTAAGGCTGAACATAAGACTTTCAAGTATGGATTTTTTTATCGGTCACCATCCTTAACTGCGAATGAGACTAGACAATATTTATCAAAATTTAAGGAGAATATCTCCAATGTGTTAATGCAACCAAATGATGGGGTCATTATCAAAGGAGATTTCAATGCCAGAAACAATGCCTGGTATGATAGTGACATTAATAATATGGCTGGTATTGAATTAAACAATGTTCTGACTGATCTTGGTCTTCAACAACTTATTTTTGAACCAACAAGGATTACTATGAATTCCAAATCTTGTATTGACCTACTGATTACAGATTCTGAACATCTTCTATCAAGCTCAGTTGAACCTCCAATAGGAAATTCTGATCACTGTACACTTATTACTAAAATAAGAGTCAGCATTCCAAGAGAACCATCAATTAAAAAAAACGTGTGGTATTATGATGATGCCGATACCAACCTGCTAAATCTCAAAATTGCCGAAGTTGATTGGAATTTTGTCTTTGATTTTCAAGTTAACGATGCTGCTATTAGATTTGCAAATACCTTTCTCTCAATAGTCAAGGAAGTTGTTCCTAATAGAACAATTTCCTCACGGTTTGATGATCAGCCTTGGTTCACAAGCAAAATCAAAAAAGAAATATATAAAAGAAACAAATTTCATCATAAATTTAAAGCTTCGAATAATCCTGTGTTCAGAGAAAAATATGTTGTTCAAAATCAAAAAGTTAATCAATTAATCCAAGAAGCTAAAGCAGAACATGAATTTAATATTAGAAATAAAATAGATAATTTATCTAAAGGTTCTGTGGACTATTGGTCACTGATTAAAGAACTTCTTGGTAAAAACCAAGTCTCATCGATACCTATTCTTTTTGACCCAACATCAAATTCATCAGCAGTCAATAGTTTTGATAAAGCAAATGTCCTCATGAAATATTTTGTCAATAAGAACATTGTGAACATCAATGACAACTATATTCCTTATTTTAGACCAAGAACTCAAAGTATCTTGCCTGACATGTCAACCTCATCTGAAGAAGTTCTAAATCTAATTAATGATATCGATATTACAAAAGCACATGGTCCTGATGAAATATCAAACAAAATGCTCAAATTATGTGCACATTCTATCGCCGAACCACTTTCCTTACTTTTTAATAGAATATTTCAAGAAAACACTTTTCCTGATATTTGGAAGGAAGGTACAATTGTCCCAATTTTCAAAAAAGGAGATAGAGGACTAGCTTCTAATTACAGACCAGTGACCCTGCTTAGCTCAATCTCCAAAATCCTAGAATCAATAATCCACAAAAGACTTTTGACTCACCTTCTGCAGCAAAATCTTATTTATCGGCTTCAAAGTGGTTTTCTACCTAAACATAATACTGTCAACCAACTTATTAACATAGTGCATGATATTCATGAAAACATCGATGATAACAAAAATGTCAGATCAGTATTTTTAGATTTAACTTCTGCATTTGATTTAGTCCCACACAAATTATTAATATCCAAACTTAAGGGTTATGGATGTAACCTGAACTTTGTCAAATTAATGACGTCATACTTAGAAAATAGGAGAGTTCGAGTCAAAGTAAACGGTACACTTTCAAAATGGTCTTCCAATAGTATGAATAATCAAAATGAGCCTAATATGCAGACCGATAATTTTGTCATCAATGCTGGTGTACCACAGGGGTCTGTCCTTGGACCCCTGCTATTTCTAATATATATCAACGATCTGCCCGATGAGCTTGTTTCAAAATCATTCATTTTTGCTGATGACACCTCAATTTATTGTCCATACGAAAAAAATGAAGTGTTTTTCAATATTCACGAGCCAATCCAAAGTGATCTAGACAAGCTTGCTCTCTGGGCTGCCACCTGGAAGATGCAATTCAAAGCTCAAAAAAGTGCAGATATGATTTTTTCTAGAAGGAACATTTTATCTCATCCACCACCTTTGAGATTAGGTGCTGATTTTATTCCTAGCTGTGAGAATCACAAACATCTTGGCCTTAATTTTGACATTCACCTTAACTTTAATTATCACATTGACCAGATAATAAAAAGAGTTACTTCTCTTTTGAGACCGATGATAAAGCTGAGTAAAATTCTAAATAGTCAGCACTTAGAGATATTATATAATACTTACATTATGCCTCATTTTGACTATTGTGATGTCATTTACAACAAGGCATCTAACATGAAATTACAAGCTCTTGAAAGACTTCACTACAGAGCAGCCTGCCTGGTTTCTGGGGCTATACATGGTTCCAATACTATCAAAGTTTTAAACTCTTTAAACTGGAAACAGCTAACAACCAGAAGAATTGAGCACTTAAACATGTTTACTTTTAAATGCAGGTATAACATTAATCCTCCATTTATTTGTGACTTACTTCGGAAATATGAACATATACCGGTCCGCCCCTTAAGACATCAAAGAGATTATGTTCTCCCAACTCGCCTTAGCTTCTCTTTTAAAAAAACTACCATCTTCCAATCTATAACTTTATGGAATAATTTGCCATCAGATACTAGAATGGGTCAACCTATTTCTAGGTTTAAAAGATTAGTAAGAGAACACAAGAGCCCAGTCTCTTTAATTCCAACTTCTAAATTGAATGTGACCTTACCCAGACATATTGAAATACCTTTTAATAGACTCAGGTGTGGCCTTTTACTTAAAGCACACCTTTATGCACATAACTTTAATGACATTAGTGACCCTTTGTGTAAATGTGGTGTTCCATTGACTACCTTGCATTTTCTTTTAAATTGCCCACTGCTCCATGATGAAAGAATCAACCTCATTGCAGGCCTTCATACTTACAATTTAGGAAACCTGTTTAACAGCTACAATTTGAATGATAAATTACAATTTTTACTTTTTGGAAAAGATGATTTAGATGCATCAACAAATGAAGAATTAATTCATATTGTCAGTTATTATATATACACGAGTTTCACTATCATATCACGTCTGTGACAACAGGTTCCGTTTCTTCATTTTTCTGCTCTTTCCTTTTTGTCATCATCCCCGCCCATGGGATTTCCTTGATTCAGTGATTTGGAATTAAGAATTTATGTAAACCTTTTGTATTTTATATTATATCTATTATTTCATTTATGTTATATTATTTAATTGCCGCTAATGTTGCAAAACTTTGGCAATCAGCTAACTTTGTACATCTATGTTATTATTTGAAATAAATCGATAACATGAAAAAAAAAATATCATTCATTGTCAGGATAAATTATAAATACCAAAGTTTGTGTTGTCAATTTAGTTTATTTGTCCTATTGGCTCTAATGTTAAGAGGATGAACAAGATGGCTATTTTTAAAAATGAATGTATGCGAGGGGTGATCCAAAAGTCTAGGACATCCTGCTCTTATTTTGTTTCAACAGTTGTAATGTGATTTGCATGTTTTAAAAACAGAGCCTGACTGGTCACCCATATTAAGAACTGTCTAGAATAGTGCCTAAAATAAATATTTTTTTGGTGTTGAACTTTATTATTTGAAAGTTTCATCTAATTTCATTAAAAAATAGCGAGATTAGAGTGGGATGTCCAAAACATTTGGATAACCCCTCGTATATTGTTGATTTGTATATGCAATACTTATTCAAGTTGTAATTCCAGAGGCCTAAAAACTAATGAATGATAAAGTGTAAATGATTTTATATTAAAATGTTCAATGCATATGTATGTTTCATCATTTAACAAAAAAGTTAACTAAAAAGCAACTAACTTTGTTTTTGTTTTTTCTCTTTTAAGAAGACAATTTAATTTTTTTGTATGATTTTGTCTAATGTTTTATTAATTGTGAGTTTGATTGATGTGACCTTGGAACCTAGTGACGAAATAATCGTTCACAAAATTTTTCACTAAAATTGCTCCAATTTGAACAATTTTCATCCAGTTTACTCAAAAGATGTCTCAAAATATGTAGAAATGATATGATCTCTGCCGACTAATTTCAGTTGAGCATCACCTGTCGCATACTGAATAAATGGTAATTTTGCCTAATCATTTAAGCCTATTGCCTTATTTTTGCCAGGTTCGGAAAATCAATTGTCAGAAATATTATCTTCATAATGTTATCCAATGGGAAGATTCTTGTCATTTGGATGATTGAAATTTAATTTAGAAAAATATTATAAAATTTGACCATTTAACAAATTAACCACTCGGATTAAATACTACTTATACAGTTTGTATACAGTGAAATGTCAAAAGCTGGCAAAAATGACAAATCCTCTGGTTTCCAACCGATTTTAGAGCCTTGCCGGCATTCAAGAGGTTAAAAAGACTTTTCATGCAAAGCAAGCTATAAAAAGTCCATAAATGCTTGAATCATATCGTAAATCCATAATAACTAATAAGGCTAATAAGGCAGTCTGACTGTTGTAGCAGTAAAAAAACTCTCCTTAGATAAGTTATAGCTTTAGTACAGTATCTTAATAGAGCATTTTTACGATAAGTGATATATCAGGGAACATGGAAAAACCCAAATTTGAAACGCAATTATATGCTGATTTTATGATTTCGTGAGTGGCATCATTATATCTATAATGTCCCTTAGTAAATTCAGGGAGATTCAAAGAAATGTATATCCAAGGATTCCAATTATTTGACAGCAGAATGAAGGTTACTTTGAACAGAGACATATAATTAATCTTCTCTTCAATATGACTGCTATTTAAAAGATAGGACTCTTTCTGTAGCAGTTTTTGATGAATTATATATATGTTAAAACAATTTGTATGATAAGAAAGAAAAATCATACAACACACTTTGGAGATCTATACAACACACTATGGGGAGCAATACAAAACACTGTGGGGGGCAATAAAACACATTATGGGGAACAATACAACACACTATGGGGAGCAATACAGCACACTATGGGGGGCAATACAACACATTATGGGGAGCAATACAACACACTATGGGGGCAATACAACACACTATGGAGAGCAATACAACACACTATGGGGGGCAATACAACACATTATGGGGAGCAATACAACACACTATGCGGGGAAATACAACACATTATGGGGAGCAAATCAACACACTGTAGGGAGCAATCAAACACATTATGGGGAACAATAAAACACATTATGGGGGACAATACAAAACATTATGGGGAGCAATACAACACACTATGGGGGCAATACAACACATTATGGGGAGCAATACAACACACTATGGGGAGCAATACAACACATTATGGGGGACAACACAATACATTATGGGGAGGAATACAACACACTATGGGGGCAATGCAACACATGGGGAGCAAATCAACACACTATAGGGAGCAATACAACACATAAGGGGGAGCAATACAACACACTATGGGGAGCAATAAAACACACTATGGGGAGCAATACAACACATTATGGGGAGCAATACAACACACTATCGGGGCAATACAACACATTATGGGGAGTAAATCAATACACTGTGGGAGCAATACAACACGTTATGGGGAGAAATACAACACACTATAGGGAGCAGGTTGAACCCTAAATAAAAAGGTGATCTATGTTTTATTCAATAATCATTATTGTCATCACCAAGACGTGGTGACATATTTCTTTCGACATCTTTTTGGGATTGGCTGTCCAGACTATAATAAATTTTGATATCAGTGTGCAAATTAACAAGTCATTTACCGGTTGAATTCATTTGGATATTACTATTTATGGAAAAAATGGCGGAGAAATTTCTATTCCAATCAAATATTATTCAGGCAGTGAAAACCTTAATAAATCCTATACAGGCAATTTTTCCCTATATACGGTATATTCTTAAATGAGGCAATACAGATTCTTTATAAAGATGACATTTCTGCAATGATTCTTTAATTTCTGTAACGATTCTTCAAAAATAGCCATTCTTTACTGAATATATATAGGGAAAACTTGCCTGTGTGTACATAGAAGCCAGAAAAACCATTAACGATTTGTCAAGCTTATGTGTGGACTGCCATTGATCTCATTCTGCTCCCTTGGTTTTTTAACAGGGTACAAAATCCAAATTTCCCTTTTTGGTAAGATCAATGTACTCAGCATCTGCGCTTTTTATTATGTATGAAGGGCTATGACAATAAAACTAATGCAAAGAGGAATAACTGTTAAAATAAAAGAAAAACATTTTTCATTGTTATTTTATGTTTCCCCTCAGGTGCAGGATAAATTCCACTTTGACTTGAATGATGAGGAAGCTGTCCAGAATATGCAGAACATTATAGATGTCAGCGCAAGTGCAACAATGGCCGCCCTTATGGAGCAGATGCATCGTCTTGCTCAGGTACAGTACACATATAGACCAGGACATTTCCCTTGCCTAGAGTCTTCAAGCTTTCAGTTTAATAATATAGATGTTTCAAATAAACCCTTCGTTCTTTTATCACACAAATAATAAATGAAAATATATCGACTACAAGTCATGTACATTCATGATGTCATAAAGTGTAGGTATCGAAAATTAAAAATAAAATCAACTTGCTGAATTTTGAATTTGTTTACATGTATTAATATTGTTACTTACAACCTGTAACATCATAGATATAATTTTAGACCGTAATATTAAAGCAATCATGCATGTTGTACATGGAGGAGAGACACCATATTGAGACTGTATTAGACATAATGTTAGACCGTAATATTAAAGCAATCATGCATGTTGTACATGGAGGAGCAACACCATGTCATGACTGTATTAGATATAATGTTAGACCGTAATATTAAAGCAATCATGCATGTTGTACATGGAGGAGCGACACCATGTCATGACTGTATTAGACATAATGTTTGACCTTAATATTAAAGCAATCATGCATGTTGTACATGGAGGAGCAACACCATGTCATGACTGTATTAGATATAATGTTAGACCGTAATATTAAAGCAATCATGCATGTTGTACATGGAGGAGCGACACCATGTCATGACTGTATTAGACATAATGTTAGACTGTAATATTAAAGCAATCATGCATGTTGTACATGGAGGAGCGACACCATGTCATGACTGTATTAGATATAATGTTAGACCGTAATATTAAAGCAATCATGCATGTTGTACATGGAGGAGCGACACCATGTCATGACTGTATTAGACATAATGTTTGAACTTAATATTAAAGCAATCATGCATGTTGTACATGGAGGAGCAACACCATGTCATGACTGTATTAGATATAATGTTAGACCGTAATATTAAAGCAATCATGCATGTTGTACATGGGGGAGAGACACCATATCATGACTGTATTAGACATAATGTTAGACCTTAATATTAAAGCAATCATGCATGTCGTACATGGAGGAGCAACACCATATCATGACTGTATTAGACATAATGTTAGACCTTAATATTAAAGCAATCATGCATGTCGTACATGGAGGAGCAACACCATATCATGACTGTATTAGACATAATGTTAGACCGTAATATTAAAGCAATCATGCATGTTGTACATGGAGGAGCAACACCATGTCATGACTGTATTAGACATAATGTTAGACCGTAATATTAAAACAATCATGCATGTTATACATTGAGGAGCAACACCATGTCATGACTGTATTAGACATAATGTTAGACCGTAATATTAAAGCAATCATGCATGTTGTACATGGAGGAGCGACACCATGTCATGACTGTATTAGACATAATGTTTGAACTTAATATTAAAGCAATCATGCATGTTGTACATGGAGGAGCAACACCATGTCATGACTGTATTAGACATAATGTTAGACCGTAATATTAAAGCAATCATGCATGTTGTACATGGAGGAGCGACACCATGTCATGACTGTATTAGACATAATGTTTGAACTTAATATTAAAGCAATCATGCATGTTGTACATGGAGGAGCAACACCATGTCATGACTGTATTAGATATAATGTTAGACCGTAATATTAAAGCAATCATGCATGTTGTACATGGGGGAGAGACACCATATCATGACTGTATTAGACATAATGTTAGACCTTAATAGTAAAGCAATCATGCATGTCGTACATGGAGGAGCAACACCATATTATGACTGTATTAGACATAATGTTAGACCTTAATATTAAAGCAATCATGCATGTCGTACATGGAGGAGCAACACCATATCATGACTGTATTAGACATAATGTTAGACCGTAATATTAAAGCAATCATGCATGTTGTACATGGAGGAGCAACACCATGTCATGACTGTATTAGACATAATGTTAGATTGTAATATTAAAGCAATCATGCATGTTGTACATGGAGGAGCAACACCATGTCATGACTGTATTAGACATAATGTTAGATTGTAATATTAAAGCAATCATGCATGTTGTACATGGAGGAGCGACACCATGTCATGACTGTATTAGACATAATGTTTGAACTTAATATTAAAGCAATCATGCATGTTGTACATGGAGGAGCAACACCATGTCATGACTGTATTAGATATAATGTTAGACCGTAATATTAAAGCAATCATGCATGTTGTACATGGAGGAGCAACACCATGTCATGACTGTATTAGACATAATGTTAGATTGTAATATTAAAGCAATCATGCATGTCGTACAGCTGCACTCATCATGATTAGAATGAAGCATTTTGTGTGACTAATCAATCAACTTGATTGTCAATTACAAACCAATCATCTCTTATGAACTGAACTGTATATGTTTATCATAAAAAATCATTTACCAATGTCATTTTTCACATAATTGCTCTGTAATATGTATCCAGTCTACAAAATATAGTATAGAAAAATGATTAAGTGATTGACCTGCACAAAGAATTTAAGTTTAAGTCATAACTTTCATATTTTGAAAATAATATAATGAAATGGACAATGATTAGACGGGCAAAACTGTAATACCATTGTAGTACCAATGACTGATCTCTTTGTCTCCAAGCTTTCAACTAGAAGTGTATGTTACCAATCCCGCAACAAAAACTCTAAACTTTATTATCAAAGACGAAAACAAGTCATATCTCACTAATCATTATATATGGGTACAATTTCACTAACATAAAGCTCATTAAGATTAATAGAAGATATTGAAAATTGATTTAAAGTGCAATGGAAAAACATAATGTCATATTACATGGAATAAATCATACATTAGCTAGAGACTCAAGTAAACATTTACCAATGAGGTGATATCTAGTTGAAAGCCCATGGTATGATGTTATTGTACCTTATATGAACACCTCTCAATGTGAACAAATTTTCAGCCTCATTTTGACATATTGTTATTATAGTTCCTAACTTAGATGGTGTTTGGCAGTTGGTATTTGTGGAGTTCAGCATCTGTAACAAATGGCAGGTGGTGGTGACATTTTGCATGTATATGCCTTGCTCAATATGACATAAACTTTCATGTTGAAAACTTCAAAAGCTAATACCTGTTAATCCAAACACTTTAGGCTGGCCTGAGTGGCATTTTGATTACACACATTTACTGTCATTATTATTTTTCGATTATATTTATTGGCTGTGGATTCCTAACATGAAGTCCATTATAGTGCCTTTTCTCAGAGATAAGGTTCAATGAAGCTTTAAATTGCTGCCATTTGTCTTGATGCTCCATGAACGATGTAATATTCAGTATTTAATGTGCTTCACTTATTTTGCAAGTTTGAGCTCTTATTATGCTACATTCTTAGAAAGCTCATGCACAGAGGTGCAACTCTTGCTCGAATTTAATATAGCGTAAAATATGCATTTAAAGTGACTGCCTTGTTGTCTAGAATTGGATGATGAATGCTATATGAGGCCATGTTGAAAGTAGAGACACGTTCCTGTTAATCTATGGGATATATGTCAAAGCAGATTAATAACACCCAGGGATAAACAGTCCTCTGGTGTATAACAATAGGCCTCATTAACATGCACACAGTGTTTAGATCTGCTCCTTTATCATCCCAACTATTACATAGCTAGTACTTTGAATTAATTGCATGCTGAAATTGCATCATATTTTGCAAAGTATTTTGTACAGTATGCGATTTTTAAGCATATGGAAATTTGATTTTCATGTTAAACAGTGATCAAATTGGGATAGAGATGGCAAAATTAGTTTAGGTTTAGTGAATACTTTATGAGAAATTGTCACAAAAATTCACAATATATTTTGTTCACAAGATTCATTCAAAAATGAGTTCTGACTTTTTATGAAAATGCTATTCAGTTCGGACATTTCTGCATGTTAAATTGTCTATTGCTTCCATATTTGATAAGATTGCAAATCTTTTTCTGATATTAAAGAAATCGCAAGGGACAATTTTTGCATGTATTGTTCAGAACATTTACACTTTCTACATTTTTGCCAGTATAATATGGTATGGTAGATGACTAGACACTATGACTTCTTATGAAAACAACTTGCAACTTGGGTGGGCAGTTGATAGGTTCTAATAATAGAGAAAAGACATTGTTGAGTATTTTAAGATGTCAGATTGCCAATTGGCAGATAACACTGAGACAACAACAAGAAATCCTCCCTTGCAAAGATACCCCCTTCTAAAGGTACAATTTACATGTAGAAGTTGTGCCATTGTAGAGTAATAATACTGTCGCAATTGCATCAAAATGCGTCCAGGATATAAAAGCGAGTCACTTACAATGTACTGTAATGAGGCAGATTCTTGTCAGCCACATGGCAGAGTGGAATATTTTGGAATGACTGATCTATTAAATTGCTAGCAATCTGAGTGGTCCCAAAGGGCTTAGCTTTATCAAGCTGTCCAAAAACATTTCACTTTGCTTGTAAATAGTTAGAGACAGAATCAGTCATAGAATAGTTAGAGACAGAATCAGTCATAGAATAGCTAGAGACAGAATCAGTCATAGAATAGGTTAAACATTGTAGGGAATTCATTCTACTCTCTATTTTAGCTATAATGATATAACATTCAGGAATCTAGAAGGATCCTTTGTGTTATCACATTGAGGGAGTTGTATATGTTTTTAAGTGAAGAGGAATGATGGGGGTGATGTGGGGGGGGGGGAGGTGATACATGAGCCAAAAATATTTTATAGTTAACATGTCTAGGAAAATGTTGCTCTCTCTTCATCGCATATCTATATTCATTATTATTAAGACTTAAATTTTTGATTTATTTCATAACCATTACCATAGGAACATGCCACATGCTTCGATATGTAAATGCTTACTTATCTCCAAGGGACAGAATGACAAAAGCAAGACATTAGCAAGAAATAAAATAAGGCACGGTTATTATTGCTGAGAGACCTAAAGACGGAATGGATGCTTTATGCATTCAGAGAATCAATAATATTTCCACAACTGACTGTGACACAGAATTTGAATCATAAATCATGTCTTTTAAATGTACCTTGTAGTCCTTTATGTATTAAACTGATTCTATATACATGTACTATCAAGTCTTAGGTTATTCCCCTAAGATGAGCCTATATGTCAAAAATCAGAATATCTTCAATCTGTTCTCCTCTTGGCAAGATAACCCAGCTGAGCTGTGAATCATTTCAATTTATAAGATTAACTCAGATTGTCCATACACTTTTACTTGTCCTCATGGGTATTATCCTGAATATAATAGTATTTTCTTTCGTTAACTTTCTGACAAGCCCTTTGCAAAAGATATAAAGTAAAATGTGTATATCTGAACACCTGTCTTCTCTAATCTGAGCTTCTCTTAATGCGAACATTTTTCAAAAAAACTCAAAATGCGAATACAAATACAAGTTTTACTGTATATATTTGAGGAATATATGTGGTAATTTATTTATTATTCCAACACTAGTGTATAATTGATGTATGACTGTAATGTGTTATTGGTTAAAATGTGATGATGAGTATTGAATCTGCAATAAAAATAAGACATTAGCTACATGTATAGCAGCTAGATTTCGCTTCTCTATCTATGAATTATATTTTCAATTCTACACTATAAGAATAGCATTCCAAACAATGTTTGACTATATCATCAAATAGATTAGAGGCTTTGATTGTTTAATCCTGTGACCTTAGATTCATCATCGTCGCACGCTCGGTCTTCACTGCGTTCGACCGACGGGAACCGAGTGAACGAAGATGTAGATTCATATTAGACTTATGTTTACCTTAGCTAGCATTGTTTCCAAGTATATCAGTCCATTCATCAATCAAAATAGTAATTCAGATAGCAGCGTGTCAGAATGTCCATATTTGGTGGCAATATGAAATATACTGTAGTATTGGGGAATGGTTTTGTTCAATACATACAGTTTCTGTATTCAAAATCCTTGGCAATGATGTATATAACACCTATGTCTTGGACTTCTGTGTATTTGATATTGATTGGGTGCATATATCGGAAACACCCTGTATTATGCAAATAGAAGGTAAAGAATATATCATGAATTTAGTGAAAAATTATACTAATTAACTTTGTTTGTGTGCTTGCAGTATTGGAGGAAATAATGATTCTTGGATACAAAGGCATCATACAAATGGCGTATGACAGGGTCACAACTGACAAGAGGCCTCATCTATGGCAAAGCCATAACCAACGAGAAGCCTTTAAGGCCATAACAAACGAGAGGTTTCATCTATGGCAAGGCCAAGGTTCAAAAGACAGAGATACAGTGCAGGGCTTGCATTAACGGTGTCCCGTACATGTTAAGGACTCAAAAATAATTTGGAGGACGCAAAAATTGAAAATATTTCCGTTTTTTGGAAGCAAAATTTTTTTAGGTCAATAGTACAATGTGTTTACAACGATACCTAACAAAAACAAATAATTATGATCTCTCACCTTTATTTTAATCGTAAATAAGGCTCAACATGTTGAATATTTACAAATAATCATGATTCTCTCGAATTTTTTCGACTTTGTTTATTTTTAGATTTGAAACCATGACACGCCACAGTTTTTCCTATTCAGAAACAAATATTAGGTTATTCATGAAATAAAATGTATTCATTGTCGAATGAACGAACATGCATTTATTCAGTCCGTACTTAACGTTTACTTCCGTTTTAAATTCGCGGCAAGAAATCAAAATCATGTGACAAAATTAACTTCAAGGTGTTTTGGTTATAATGTTTTTAAAATAAAGTTATACCTCAAAACAGGCTAGAAATAGGGGACACACTTTTTTTTCAAAGGACACACTTTTTAAAAAAAATTGCGTCTTTGGGACTCACAAATTTTCTAACCTAATGCAAGCGCTGCAGTGACATGGCAAACATTATTATGACATCTCAATACCATTCCAAACAACAGATATGTTGATGTGGCTACTTTATTGTGACATCATAAAACTTTACAAGACAGGAGGCTGGACTTATGGTCAACACTTTTATTAAAAAGTATAAAAAACAAGTGTACAGGTGCAGGCCCATAGCCAGGGGGGTTCGCAGGGTTCGGGCGAACCCCCCCCTGACCAAAAATTCTTTCAAAATCATGCAGTTTTTCACCATTTTGAGCACTTCTCAAGTGATTTTAGCCATATTTGGGCCAAAATTGTCAAATGTGAACCCCCCTGGACATTTTTGAAAACTGAACCCCCCATGGCAATTCCTGGCTACGGGCCTGCGGTGTGTTAATCATTTACTGGCTTTAGTTCGTTCACCAATAAGGAATTTTTAGATGTTTCAGTTTCAACTTTGTATTGTTAATCCACTTTTTAAGGAATAAGATCAATACTCTATGATTTATGGTATAATATATATAGAGGATATCCTATGATTTATGAGTGATATGATTTTTATCCACGAATAAATATGATATCTGCACGAGCAGAAGTAGCAAAACTCCATAAACCATCGCATACGGCGCCGTATGTCATGGCTAAAAAACTGTATGCTATGGTTAAGTGAAAATGTGTCAAAAATATATTTTACCACTGATTACAAAAATACCATTTTTATTTTCACATGTTATCCTATGAATATCATGCTAACTATGGAATAAAACTAATATTTTATTCTGTTCATTGATAAAAGACAATGATTAAATTCTTTTGGAATGGCAAGGATAAAATCTGAGGTCATATATTTGCCATAAATTGTAGAATCGAGGTCTTTGCTATTATGATTCTAATATGATAAAGTATGCCATCACTATAGACATTACATTTAGTGGTCTATAATGCAATTTACTAGTCATACATACCCCATTATAGACCAGCAACCAATTGTTCTAGTTATTGTGACATAAATTTCCTGTGCATATATCTGAATATAGAACATTGATGAGGATTGTATTTATAGTTTAACAGAATTAAATACTGGAATTTATATATATCAGGAATGTACTGTATGAATAGGATTGTATAATAAGCTTATTGTTATATACAAATCTAGCTGTGTCAGTGTATTGTGAAAATAATAATTTGTTGATGATTATAAAATACTGGTTAATGATCTTTTTATCACATTTAAAAAGTGTCATATACATATTGTATTATTTGCATTGTGGGTGCTTTATTGCCATGTGGGTCAAATTGTTGGTGGGTGTCCCAAAATTAACTTCTCTACACATTTTAAAGCAGACATTTTGATTGATTGATTTCAAATTTTCAGAGAATAATCTGATCTGATTTTGGGCATGCTGGGAAGATTATTTGTAACAATCTGTCTTAAAGTTTGTCTGCAAAAACATAGGTGTAGCCAGGGGATTGCGATCTCAATTAAGAAAGAGGAGGAAGATAAGAGCTTTAAAATGCTTTTTATATGAAGCTTCTAGCATGTCTAGCTCAATTTTGAAGAAAGTTGCATCAATTTTTGTAAAATGCAAGATAAATCTTAATTTTTGGCTTGTTTATGCCACATTCTGACTGAAAACCGAAATTTTTTGACGATCGCACCCCCCTGACTGAAAGCTGGCTACGCCCCTGGAAAACATTGACAAATAAAACAATGCAACCATCCTTGTGGATATACTTTGTGAATGATTTAGAACTAATAAAATACTTTTATATTTGGGAAACGAAACTATATATATTGTTCTGTGAGATCTTCTTTTCTGTGGAGTTGCTGTTTTCTAGTTGCTAATTGTGACAACATAGTCTAACACTAGTGTTTACATGTAAACTATGAACAATATTGCCTCATTTCTTTGTTCAATAAGGTAACTGCGCGATACAACACATACATGTACTCTGAAATAATAACATGAACAACTCATTTAAGCAATTTTTTTTATTTAAATCTTTACAGTACATTTGATGTCAAGACATACATCAATAATGTTACACCATCTTGTACCACAATACAAGAACATGTTTATATATTACCAAACATGAAACATCAAAGTACAAAATCTATATACAGTAGTCAATCAGTTGGCTGTGATTTCAATATGCATTTCAATTCAGTTCAAGAGAGTTCAAACATGGGTGCGTTTCTACAGGCACATTTTTTATCGCTTACAAATTATTGTATACAGGAACATTAGATTTCCTAGTTAGTATAGTTGGTCAACGGATGGCACAAATATATCCAAAAAGACCCCCATTCCCTACCACTTAATTCTTACCTGTGTGAGGCTAGGTAATGGAATAAATTGTTACATTTTGAAATCACATCTGGACCATACTAAGTCAACTCCTGGCATCAATAAAAATGGAATTTAACCTTTTTAACTAAAATTATTCAGTACATATCTGAATTTGTGTAAATATAAACACGCTGAATACAAAAAATACCTATACGATGGCAAGAATTTGCGAATCTGTTCCTTCATCATGATGAGCTCATATATTGATCAATGCTGTACATCTTCATGTGTAATTTACTCAAGTGTTATTTACTCATGTGTTATTTACTCGTGCAATTTACTCATGTGTTATTTACTCATGCAATTTACTCATGTGTTATTTACTCATGCAATTTACTCATGTGTTATTTACTCGTGCAATTTACTCATATGTAATTTACTTACGATTATTTTAAGTAATTATTTGAGACTAAGGTGGCACAAATAGAAAAATTGGCACAAATTGAAAATATTTATGAAAGCAACAATACATGTATATATATATACACTGTATATATATGGCACTTATAATACAGTGTGTCCCAAAAAAAAGGAAACCAGCAATAGATTGCTTATTTCTCAAATATGAATAATAATAGGAAAATTTCACAGCTACCATCTGATAGGTTATGATGTCCTCTTTCTTATGATACCAAAGTTGTCTATTTTCCTTCACAGATGACTGAGTTATAAGGGATTTAAGTGACCCTGTCAGAAATGAGTTTGTACCACTTTCAGCCAAGTCAATTTCACCATCATAACAAAGTGATAAGTAACAACAAACATCAGGATATCACTCTTTTACTCGTTTATTCCAATTAAAATTACACATATCATATTTAACACCCCTTTTAAATCCCAGTCTCCATTCAAAGTTGTTTTAATCCCAGTGTCTTTCAACATGACCCCCATTCCTTTCAATGCAAATGTCTGCCCTTGATCTCATCGCAGGTACTGCATCCCTGATGATGACACTGGGATTAAAACAACTTTGAATGGACATTGGGATTTAAAAGGGGTGTTAAATATGATATGTGTAATTTTAATTGGAATAAATGAGTATAAGAGTGATATCCTGATGTTTGTTGTTACTTATCACTTTGTTATGATGGTGAAATTGACTTGGCTGAAAGTGGTACAAACTCATATCTGACATGGTCACTTAAATCCCTTATAACTCAGCCATCCGTGAAGGAAAATAGACAGCTTTGGTATCATAAGAAAGAGGACTTCATAATCTATCAGATGGTAGCTGTGCAATTTTCCTATCATTATTCATATTTGAGAAATAAGCAATCTATTGCTGGTTTCCTTTTTTTTGGGACACCCTGTACTTATAACCTACTTAACTAATAGCAGCAGATTTATGGCACCATAGAACATATTGCTGAATATATGCTCTACTGCAGAACATATAGAACTGTACTTTAAAGAATGATTGCACTGCAGAACATGTACATTAAAGAATGATTGCACTGCAGAACATGTACATTAAAGAATGATTGCACTGCAGAACATGTACATTTAAGAATGATATCAATATTGCAATGTGATGGCACTGCAGAACACATATATTACAGTATGGTGGCACTGCAGGACATATACAGTAAGAATGATTGCACTGCAGAACATGTACATTAAAGAATGATTGCACTGCAGAACATGTACATTTAAGAATGATATCAATATTGCAATGTGATGCGCTGCAGAACACATATATTACAGTATGGTGGCACTGCAGGACATATACAGTAAAGAATGATTGCACTGCAGAACATGTACATTAAAGAATGATTGCACTGCTGACCATATACATTTTAGTATGGTATCAATATTGCAATGTGATGGCACTGCAGAACGTATACAGTACAGAATAATTGCATTGCAAAATGTTACAGTTCAACAGCACTGTGGAACATAACAGTATGATATCAATGCAGAAAATTACAGAATAATAGCACTGCAAAATATAAACATATTATACTAAAATGGCACTTAGAGTATTCAAATTACAACAAACTTAGAAGTGTAATTTCTTACAAAAGCAATGATTTTATATAAAAGCACATTCTCTGCTGCTTCAGGCAAAATATAATGCTGAACTGATTTTCCCCATGTTTTATCAACAATTATGGTCTGAACAACTAATAGGGGTAACTTTAGATCATAGTTGCAATTTTGCAACCTACAGGTGCTACCATTCAATTGACAATTAAAATGGAATTATAACAGAATTCCTTGACATATACAAATGAATCTGAATAATTACAAATGTCTGTGTAATCTAACTCATATCTTTTATTATAATGCTGTATGGACATTATTATTATTATCTTCCTGGTGAATATAATTGTTTTCGCAGGAAGGAGAAATTTATGCTTTTAAAACAACAGTGTATGAATAACAATTTTAAAAAGAAACGATTTCCTTAAATCTATTTATAGATTGGAACAATAAAAATAAACTATAAAAAACTCTTTATGCATAGTATCAACTAATCAATGGCACCAATCTGAAATGTATTGAAAAAATAAGACATAGTAGAATTACTAATATTATAAAGGAAATTAATGTTGCTGAAATTGAGCATGAAAACATAATTGATCTCACCTCATCAGCTAATTGTTTGGTCAACTTCCTTGTAATTAATTAAAATAATCTATAAAAGGTTTCATATCTACAATGGCTTTGCCTGTTTTTGAAGTCAAATGATTAGATTTTTTCATCCGTGGATCTATTTCCCACGAGCAATAATAAAACGCAACACTAATTGACTCGTATGAATAATGAAAGTTTTGTCACAACATGCTAATATTCAATATCATTGGCTTTCATTCTACTAAGATAGTAGGTAGCCAAATTAGCCCATTTTATCCTAAGATCGGACACTCTTCCATATGCCTGAATACCCTTTATTTATAAACAACACTGAGGTTAATTCCCCGTTATCAGTTATCCAAAATACTTAGGGAAATCACTCTCATTTGTAAAAGAATATCATTGCAATATATTCATCTTTGGATCTGGAAAACACATATAGCATAAAATAAATTACCCATGCGTAGCAATAGTAATATGAGACGACGCTGTCATTAGGCACACTGCTTACCCAATAAATAAACGTCTGGGTGATATTGCTTTTCTCACAAAATAAAGGCCTGTGAGAAATACTACAGCCAAACATGTTTATATGCTAGAAAATCAGACACTTCTTTTTCACATGTTTAGAATCGAATGGTTATGAGTGTTAAGCCAAAAATGTATTTCTTTAGAATTAAATTCATTAGCCTGTAATATTAGTATTAGACCAATAAATGAGGTCACTGAAATACAGTAAAACCTCTGTATATCAAACTCCCTTTATACTGTCCCAAAATGTCCCTTGAAGGGAGTGTTCCTTATAGATAGTTCATCTACATTAACAGTCATTATCATATAATTAAATAAATAGTACTTAGTTCTGTTGAAATGTTTCATTAAGAGAGACATACTTCAAAAATGTGTTCCATCAACAGATTTTTCTGTACATATCTTTTTTAGTAAAAGTTCCATATTATACATTACTATATTATGCTGGTACATTCAGGATATAAAATCTTGAGATTAGGTGTCATATCTGGGATGAATACACCCTTGTTTCATTTATATTGTTTGCATTGTACAACCTGAATACTTGAATACAAAAATATTACATTATACATTATGTTTCACATTAGAGTACCAATGAGATTCCTTTCAACCCTTGAGGTTCCGCCTAATGCGATGAAATAAAAACTGATGATTGAGGTAATAAAACTATATGCCTGAGAGAGTGCTAATACAGGAAAAATCTTATCATCCAATAGAGAATTAAAAGAGGGAATTGTATTATTTCTATCAATTTTCATGACCTTGATCCTATATTCGAGGTGTTTACGATATGCATCATCATATAGCATTAAATGATCAAATCAAATCGTTGATGAAGTTCTTTATGCAACTCATGATTAGGACTTTTGGTCAACAATAATATTCCAGGCTAACTCTAATCTCTATATTCGACTTTATGCATAGTTGCTATGCAACAATCACCATAGATACACTTTGAATACTGCAGCATATGATATACAGGTAGATTGTAAAACAAAAAGCTACTACAATGCCTGTGTACAAGCTTGAACAATACAAAATAAACACTACTATGCAGGTATATACAACACATGAGAGTATTGCAGTGCCTCAATATAACATATTCCTTTTCTCAGTACACTACATATATCATGTACTACTTTTAACAAAAAAGGATAAAATGCTAATTGAATTTTATGCTTCATTTCAAGGAAACAAGAGTCTGATTTTCTACCATTTAAATAGATAGAAAGTACAATTTCACTAAATTGTTGTCTATCTAATACTGAGTCTGTATCATTAATTCGTTGCTCAGAGAATTTCTGTGCTGCAGACTTTCCAATTTAATAGGTTTCTTATCCCATATTGCAGAGAACTGAGAATATGTAATATCAGTGTCCAGTTGAATGAATATTGAATGTTCCACACCATCTTCTCTATTCATGATACATTTACAAATAAGCCTCTGGGCTCCCAATATCTCAAAGGAAGGTTTAGATGTCATATACAAAACATATATATTTAATTGTTCAACATAATAAAAGCACCATTATTATCATATTAGCATATTTGTTCACTTGTTGAGTATCTCTAGATTCATGCACCTAATATGGTATATACGGATGAGTCTCTTTAAATTAATGTACATTCTAAAAAATCACTTAAGCTCAATGTACATACTACATGTGTCTCTAGCTCAATGTACAATATGTACTCTAATTTGATGTACAATAAGTACAAGTACAAGAGTTTCCATTGCTAAGTATACAATAAGTACACAAGTTTTTAGAGTTTGATGTACAATATGTACTCTTGATGAACAATAAGTATGAGAGTCTCTCTTGCTCAATAAACAATATGTACAAGACTCTCTCTAGCTCGATGTACAATATGTACAGGAATCTCTCTAGCTTACTTGATGTACAATATGTACACGAGTCTATCAAGGCACCACACCTATTTTCATTTAATAATTCTTTTCACTCTACTTTCCTAAAGTAGACACTTCTGGAGATGACCAGTCATACAATACACTCAGACTGATAGGGCATGATATCAACATGAGTCATATGTTGCACTCAGGGTGATAGGGCATGATTATGATTGACAAAATCAACATGAGTCATGCAATACACTCAGGGTGATAGGGCATGATTATGATTGACAAAATCAACATGAGTCATGCAATACACTCAGGGTGATAGGGCATGATTATGATTGACAAAATCAACATGAGTCATGCAATACACTCAGGGTGATAGGGCATGATTATGATTGACAAAATCAACATGAGTCATGCAATACACTCAGGGTGATAGGGCATGATTATGATTGACAAAATCAACATGAGTCATGCAATACACTCAGGGTGATAGGGCATGATTATGATTGACAAAATCAACATGAGTCATGCAATACACTCAGGGTGATAGGGCATGATTATGATTGACAAAATCAACATGAGTCATGCAATACACTCAGGGTGATAGGGCATGATTATGATTTACAAAATCAACATGAGTCAAACAATACATTCAGAGTGATAGGGCATGATTATGATTGACAAAATCAGCATGAGTCATGCAATACACTCAGGGTGATAGGGCATGATTATGATTGACAAAATCAACATGAGTCATACACTACATTCAGAGTGATAGGGCATGATTATGATTGACAAAATCAGCATGAGTCATACGATACACTCAGCGTGATAGGGCATGATTATGATAGACCAAATCAACATGAGTCATACGATACACTTAGAGTGATAGGGCATGATTATGATTGACAAAAACAACTTGAGTCATACAATACACTCAGAGTGATAGGGCATGATTATGATTGACAAAAACAACATGAGTAATACAATACACTCAGAGTGATAGGGCATGATTATGATTGACAAAATCAACATGAGTCATACAATACATTCAGAGTGATAGGGCATGATGATGATTGACAAAATCAGCATGAGTCATACAATACACTCAGCGTGATAGGGCATGATTATGATAGACCAAATCAACATGAGTCATATGATACACTCAGCGAGATAGGGCATGATTATGATAGACAAAATCAACACGGGTCATACGATACACTCAGCATGATAGGGCATGATTATGATAAACCAAATCAACATGAGTCATACAATACATTCAGAGTGATAGGGCATGATTATGATTGACAAAATCAGCATGAGTCATATGATACACTCAGCATGATAGGGCATAATTATGACAGACAAAATCAACATGAGTCATATGATACACGCAGAGTGATAGGGCATGATAGTCAAAATCAACAAGAGTCATACAATACACTCAGAGTGAAAGGGCTGCTAGGGATGATTATGATAGGTAAAATCAACATGAATGTACAGAATGTGTATGAACAAGCTATATCACTACAATTAAGCTGCAAAAATACAAAAATAGCTAGCTTATTGAAATAATAAACAGTAGAAAATTACCTTGGCATTTATACAATTTTAATTCACATTCTTTACACTTGCTGATCCAAAGTCAGTTTGGGGTTTGCTGGTCTTATGTAGATCCATGTTGGAGGATGGCACTGACCTGTCATCACCTAATGTTGGCTGAGACAGTTCTACGGTTTGGCGATTACTTTTAATGGCACCACTTGTACTGCAGGTTGTCACATATTTCAACTGACTTTTGGCATCGTAAATACATTTAGAGGGTAAGATAACTGACTGCAGTGTCCAGTCAGCAATCTTTAAAGTTTCAGTCATGACACCATTGCTTATTGTCCGCTCCACAAAAGGAAATTTGCTAGCTAGTCTACTACAGGGGACATCCTTCTGGTTAAAACTGAACAATGGAAGCTCCTTTATATGACTGAACGACCTTGACCCACATTTATCAATGCCTAACTTATAAGTCCTTGCTAAAATTGTGGCACTATCACAGGGCGCAAAAACCTGCATGCCCTCAAATGGTCGCTTTTGCAAAGGAAATAAATCCGTCTTTTTATGTGGGATATAATATTGGGGATTTTCATCCCATATATGTGTGCTGTTTTCACCAAACCAGAATATGTCTATATATGGCCAACTGAATGACTGGTGAGCAAACTTCTCACCACTTTTGCTGAAGAACTTGGAGCCGATAAGAAAACTACTTTCATGTAGTTCAAATTCTGTGGCAAGTGGGGCTACTGCTTTCTTCACAGCATGAAGCTGACTGCTATTGACGATAATATCAATGTCATCATCCCAGGGTATCATTCCATGGTGTCTGTATGAGCCTATCAAACTGCCCATATATAACATATAAGTAATGTTATGTGCCTCAAGTGCCCCTATAAACACTTGGAGGGTACTCAACATAAGGGATTTATCCTTTGTTGTCAACACAGGTTGGAAGTATGCCTCGATGGGCCAGAATCCCTCTTGCAATTGCATCACCACAAAAAAGAGGTTAATCAAAATGCCGAGAAAGTTCACAATCAGTATATTCCTCATGTCAAAAATTCTTCTGACTTTTTTCATCATTTTCGATGTAATATAGAATTTCCCTGTGGAGTAATTTGTATATGGGAACGCTCCTCTACAGTTGTAAAAACAGTATCTGTATATGGCGTTAAGTGGTCGGGGCATTGAGTTGTATCAATCTACTTAATTGTGTAGCAATCTTCTGTTAATTTCTCCTGAAAAAAAAACATTTCAGCAATTGTGAAATACAACGTATATACTGCAATAATATTTCAGACAGACATAAAACTCCCAGTCTTCTCAATACAGTGGAATTTTCTTCAATTTTCTAGTGTATAAATATGCATGTTCAATCATGGGCTTTCAATAGATTCAATTTATAAAACAGTAACATATTTTTCAATTTAATTGAAACATCATTGATATGATAACGTGCATGTGTACATTGTTTTTTTTAAAAATAGGATGAGTTTAAACATAGTTCATCTGCAGAGAGTGCCATTGATCAATACACTACTAGACATTTCACGCCTCTTGAGGATTAGCATAGATTTAAATCTCAATGAATTGGCCATTATAACTTCTTCGAGATAGATCTTGACATTGACCACCGAGACCATGCAACTAAAACTGATTGATTCATAAAGATACACATCGGAATATATTGAAACACTCACTGGCAGCTTTGCTCACTTTGCAGTTAACTACTTAGAGTGGAGGGGTGAATGTTTGCTGACTTTGCAGTTAACTACTTAGAGTGGAGGGGTGAATGTTTGCTCACTTTGCCGTTAACTACTTAGAGGGGATGGGGTGAATGTTTGCTCACTTTGCAGTTAACTACTTAGAGGGGGGGGGGTGAATGTTTGCTGACTTTGCAGTTAACTACTTAGAGTGGAGGGGGTGAATGTTTGCTGACTTTGCAGTTAACTACTTAGAGTGGAGGGGTGAATGTTTGCTGACTTTGCAGTTAACTACTTAGAGGGGATGGGGTGAATGTTTGCTCACTTTGCAGTTAACTACTTAGAGGGGAGGGGTGAATGTTTGCTCACTTTGCAGTTAACTACTTAGAGTGGAGGGGTGAATGTTTGCTGACTTTGCAGTTAACTACTTAGAGTGGAGGGGTGAATGTTTGCTCACTTTGCAGTTAACTACTTAGAGTGGAGGGGTGAATGTTTGCTCACTTTGCAGTTAACTACTTAGAGTGGAGGGGTGAATGTTTGCTCACTTTGCAGTTAACTACTTAGAGTGGAGGGGTGAATGTTTGCTCACTTTGCAGTTAACTACTTAGAGTGGAGGGGTGAATGTTTGCTCACTTTGCAGTTAACTACTTAGAGTGGAGGGGTGAATGTTTGCTGACTTTGCAGTTAACTACTTAGAGTGGAGGGGTGAATGTTTGCTGACTTTGCAGTTAACTACTTAGAGTGAAGGGGTGAATGTTTGCTCACTTTGCAGTTAACTACTTAGAGTGGAGGGGTGAATGTTTGCTGACTTTGCAGTTAACTACTTAGAGTGGAGGGGTGAATGTTTGCTCACTTTGCAGTTAACTACTTAGAGTGGAGGGGTGAATGTTTGCTGACTTTGCAGTTAACTACTTAGAGTGGAGGGGTGAATGTTTGCTGACTTTGCAGTTAACTACTTAGAGTGGAGGGGTGAATGTTTGCTGACTTTGCAGTTAACTACTTAGAGTGGAGGGGTGAATGTTTGCTCACTTTGCAGTTAACTACTTAGAGGGGAGGGGGTGATTGTTTGCTCACTTTGCATTTAATTACTTAGAGTGGAGGGGTGAATGTCAATGTGGAAATAACCATGCTTAATATAAATGGTGGGGAATGTTAGAGGACTTAATTCAGAGGGGTTGTGGATTCTTTCCCTACAAGGGCTGACTGACTCTCACATCAACACTAACATTAAATTATTTATAACAACTAGAATTTTAAATTGTCAATAACATAAAAAGCCATCTTGTAAGGTGGCTAAAGAATAATGGGAAAGTATCTTCAGAGAGAATAACAGTTTTAATTGTTTAATTTCGAAACAATGTCTGGGATGGTGATGACATTACATTTGAATTTATGAGCAGGTTATAATAACATGGCATGTTTTACAAATAGTATGCCACTCTCATCTTATTATCAATATTCACCACTGCTTATTTATATGGAACATTTTGTGTTTTCGGCATACACTGATTAAAAAAATTAAGCCAAACCGAATATCTTTTAATTCTCCAAATCCTTCTTCAAACGCTTTTGTTTGTATTGTATAGTTCATTGAATTACACTGCAGGTGCTGTTGATATGTATAGCACTGTTCAATGTCAACCCAAAAGTCAATGTCAAGACTGACTCAATGAAGATAACAGTTTTTAAAGAATGTGCAAGAGAAGAAAACCAAAATTTGGTCAAGTGAAACAAGAGACTAAAGGTGTAAAGACCCTTGATAGCAAGTTGCTATCAGACTTTGGATCCAAGAGTCCTATGTACGATTCCCACACGTTAGTTAGTCATTGCCCTGGGGTGCCCTCGGTCATTACAAGGGAGCCAAGAACAGAAGAAGGAATATGGAAAGTGGATGAAATATAACTATATTGTGTGAGGAATTTGTATAAAATGAGTGGTTTAAACCCAACAAGCATGGAAGGACATGCAGAGGATGATGATCTGCTTCTCAGTAAACAGATGAATCAGAGCCTTGAACTGTTGAACAAGCCTCTGGGATTGATTCATTTTTCAATTGAAAACATATGTAAAATATTTTTGACTTGTGAAATCATCAAGCGCAAATGAAAAGTTTTTCAGTTTCCTAGTTTCAAGATTGCATCACAAGGTATTAAGTGACCTCATGGTCATCTGTTTATAATTGTGACGTAAAATCAAATTTTAAATGTAAAATAATGCAAATCTTTTTGTTTTTCAAGAATGATCTCTTGACTTTGATAAAATAAAGTATTGCACATATTACACTCAATGTTGATACGGCTGTGAATAGAGGACCATTTGATATTGAAGGTTGAGATTGCACTTGCTGTGGATTACAATTGTTACATGGGGCAAACGATTTGACATTGAAGGTATCACATTTAATACTGAGATTACAATTGCTGTGACTAGCGGACCATTTGATATTAAAGGTATTGTACTTAATGCTGAAATTGCAACTGCTGTAAATTGAATTGTTATAAAGGGCAGACAATTTGATTCTGAAGTACTGCACTCCTGGGATTGCACATAATGTTGAGATTGCAATTGCTATTAATAGCAGACCATTTGATATTGAAGGTATTGCATTTAATGCTGAGATTGCAATTGCTATTTATAGCAGACCATTTGATATTGAAGGTATTGCATTTAATGCTGAGATTGCAATTGCTATTAATAGCAGACCATTTGATATTAAAGGTATTGCACTTTATGTTGAGATTGCAATTGCTATTAATAGCAGACCATTTGATATTGAAGGTATTGCACTTAATGTTGAGATTGCAATTGCTATTAATAGCAGACCATTTGATATTTCAATTACTGTAAAGGGTTGATCATTTGATATGTTGAAGAGTATTGTACAATAGAAAGGACATTTCACAAGCACATGTACTTGTTTAGACTGTTTATGTATGCTTTATACATGCAAATGAAAACACATTATACCATTCAAAAGGCCAGATGAATAAGTTGAATCTAGATTCAAATTATTTTACCATTGAGCTTACACATTGTACACATGCTACATACTATAGTGTACTAGTACGTTATGTTATTTTAGCGACATGCATTTACGAACTGTAATTTTCCCCCAATTAACATTCCGTTAAAAAACTGAACCAAATGATTTTCATGACCAAATGCACTGTACTGTTGAGGTCAATGACAGTCAGAGCTCTGCAATTCCAGTGAACCGTCTGACCCCTAATTCATACAGTAGCAGTTGTTTTTTATAATTATCAGCAGATACATACTTTTAAAATGCCAATTTGATCAAAATATACTACTTTTTCTGCTTTTAATTTCAGGTCATTAAACCACTTCTTTTATATGTTAAACTGCTGTTCCAATGCAAATGCTCATTCACCGTATTATGTCTCATCTATAGAATTCTTGAAGCATAAAAAACTTTAAACATAAATCACATTCAGTATTCAAAAGAGTTTGAAGCATGATTCATAAAGAAAGAAGAAGTAAAGAACTACAATATTTCATCCTGTAGCATTTAAAGGGGGGGGGGGGGGCTTTAAATGTGTTAACTTGCAAAATCAATCTAGACATACATAGATGTCCCTAGGGGAAGTGCGTATTGGGTGCGAGTGTACCCCCTTTTTGAGCCTATTTTACTTTTCCCCAGGAATTTTGTTCATGGTGTTGATGAAAAGGAGATTCAGTGGAAAGAAGACATGTTGGTTGAAGTTGTTTTACACTGATCGAATCTGGCTCCATGTTATAGAATAGAGCAATGATTTGATGAGTGTTCAGCTCTAACTTATAAACTGTAATCATGCACCTATTAAAATGACATATCATTTTTTTAATTAAATATAGTTTAATGATTGCGAGAATCTACTTGTGGGGGACAGCGCAAAATCAATCATTACTTTTACATATATTCATTCCTGCATGAATGGTAACCCCCAAGATGAATGCTCTTTTCTCAAAACCTACCATATTAATAATAATAGTAGAATACGCCGTCAGTCCGCATTTGATTTTTTGAAGTGAGTTTCGTAGATCGTCAGATTTCTCCGACTGATATCGGGTTATCTCAAATTGGTTTGTTTATAAATACAAATTTCTTTACCGTTGTAAGGCGCATGCGCAAAATTGATTTATAAACGTGATTGGTTGATGGTTTTTCTCCTGAGCATGCGTGAAGTCTGATGAACACTTCTGACGAAGACCGGAGCAAACATTACTAGCTCTCAAACGAAATTCCAAGATTCAGATCATTTCGCCGTGTTTGCTAAGCGTGTATACGTGAATGACAAGCTGTTTTGAGTAGATCAGGTACCTGTTTTAGACACAACATTGATTTAGCTTGACATTGATGTGCACATTGGCACTTTTGAGCATGTTAATACAAGTTTTTACACGCTTAGCACGAGACGTGTTTTCGAAAAATCTGTTATCTGATTCACTCAATTATCGTATGGATATGTATTTCTGCTGACATTTCAACACCACATCACATAGAATTACGATGCAGAATGATAATAAAACACAAAACAACTACTAAATTCCACTTGTTATTTCACAGGAGGTAAAATTGCACACTGCCTAGATTCTTTGTAAGGGTCGTCAGACATCGGATTGGCCGCCATATTTGAAATGAAAATATCACTAAATAGAGGTCTGCGCATGTGTCAACATTTCGACTGCATAGTAACAACATAATATTGTTATTCACAGTCACTTGATCAGTAAAACTCAATTTAATCTACTGCACATTCTTGATACCATGGTACCATGCACTCAAAATGTTTACAAAAAGTGTGAGAATTAGATATCCTTGCAAAAACACATTCTATAAGGTTTTCTTAAGACATACATGGGCAGTTAAACCTGTATATTATGAACACCAATGACTCCAGAAAAAAGTGTTCACTACAGAGAGGGTATTTTGAATAGGAGTCAATGTAAACTGTGTCTTGAAGTGGTGTTCACTAAACACATGTGTTCACTACAGAGGTGTTCACGAAAACAGGTTTTACTGTGCCTAACAATTGGACCAGCATCTCAGCTTTTGCTCACAGGGTCTTAACAGCAATGCATTTTGATAATTGATTCATATCTAACAAAGCACAACAATTAGACCAGCATCTCAGCTTTTGATTACAGGGTCTTAACAGCAATGCATTTTGATAATTGATTTATATCTAACAAAGCACAACAATTAGACCAGCATCTCAGCTTTTGCTTACAAGGTCTTAACAGCAATGCATTTTGATAATTGATTCCAAATCTAACAAAGCACAACAATTAGACCAGCATCTCAGCTTTTTCTTACAGGGTCTTAACAGCAATACATTTTGATAATTGATTCCAAATCTAACAAAGCACAACAAATGGAAAAGCATCTCAGCTTTTGCTTACAAGGTCTTAACAGCAATGCATTTTGATAATTGATTTATATCTAACAAAGCACAACAATTAGACCAGCATCTCAGCTTTTTTTACAGGGTCTTAACAGCAATGTATTTTGATAAATGATTCATATCTAACAAAGCACAACAATTAGACCAGCATCTCAGCTTTTGATTACAGGGTCTTAACAGCAATGCATTTTGATAATTGATTCATATCTAACAAAGCACAAAAATTAGACCAGCATCTCAGCTTTTGCTTACAAGGTCTTAACAGCAATGCATTTTGATAATTGATTCCAAATCTAACAAAGCACAACAATTGGACCATCATCTCAGCTTTTGCTTACAGGGTCTTAACAGCAATGCATTTTGATAATTGATTTATATCTAACAAAGCCCAACAATTGCACAAGCATCACAGCTTTTTCTTACAGGGTCTTAACAGCAATGCATTTTGATAATTGATTTATATCTAACTAAGCACAACAATTGGACCAGCATCTCAGCTTTTTCTTACAGGGTCTTAACAACAATGCATTTTGATAATTGATTTATATCTAACAAAGCCCAACAATTGCACAAGCATCACAGCTTTTTCTTACAGGGTCTTAACAGCAATGCATTTTGATAATTGATTTATATCTAACTAAGCACAACAATTGGACCAGCATCTCAGCTTTTTCTTACAGGGTCTTAACAGCAATGCATTTTGATAATTGATTCCAAATCTAACAAGCACAACAATATTAGACCAGCATCTCAGTTTTTGCTAACAGGGTCTTAACAACAATGCATTTTGATAATTGCTTTATATCTAACAAAGCACAACAATTGGACCATCATCTCAGTTTTTGCTAACAGGGTCTTAACAACAATGCATTTTGATAATTGATTTATATCTAACAAAGCACAACAATTGGACAAGCATCTCAGCTTTTGCTTACAGGGTCTTAACAGCAATGCATTTTGATAATTGATTTATATCTAACTAAGCACAACAATTAGACCAGCATCTCAGCTTTTTCTTACAGGGTCTTAACAGCAATGCATTTTGATAATTGATTCCAAATCTAACAAGCACAACAATATTAGACCAGCATCTCAGTTTTTGCTAACAGGGTCTTAACAACAATGCATTTTGATAATTGCTTTATATCTAACAAAGCACAACAATTGGACCAGCATCTCAGTTTTTGCTAACAGGGTCTTAACAACAATGCATTTTGATAATTGATTTATATCTAACAAAGCACAACAATTGGACAAGCATCTCAGCTTTTGCTTACAGGGTCTTAACAGCAATGCATTTTGATAATTGATTTATATCTAACAAAGCACAACAATTGGACCAGCATCTCAGCTTTTGCTAACAGGGTCTTAACAGCAATGTATTTTGATAATTGATTTATATCTAACAAAGCACAACAATTGGACAAGCATCTCAGCTTTTGCTAACAGGGTCTTAACAGCAATACATTTTGATAATTGATTCATACAAAGCACACTGACGACAAGTAAATTGACAATTATTGAAAATAGTGTTCTGTTCATGTTTGATAAAAATTGATTATTTAAAAAAATTTGGTCCGTTTTCAAAAGTATGCCTCATTATTTTTCATGTCTACTAGGGAGGGGCAGAATGGAGATCTACCATGAAAATTATGGTTATTTTGAGGACAGCATAATTTGTTACAGGATGGTCTATGCACTTTAAAATGAGAGTAAACTTTAGGAATAAACACGCATTGGATGTTTTTAAGAACAGTTTAACTTTTAAGTGGTTTCATTGACTTTTAAACAAAATATATGTAGTTTTAATGATTTTAAAATAAATAATTCCCTTTGATTGTTTCACATCTCCAAATATGCAGTATATACCGTATTTGGTCAAAAAACCTCCTATCAATGACCTATATTTAAAGAAGAAAATGATGTCTCACCTTGGAAACCATATAAGGTCAATGCCCAGTACACATGCACTGAAGGTTTATCAGTGAATCATCCATGCAGCCTCCGTAACTTTACTAACTTCAACATAGATGATGATATATATCCAACTGAAACAAACAGACATAATATGTTAATATTCTTTCAGCTTTCCTTTTTATAACTCATTCTTCGTAAATATGCTTGGCTTATCGGCATGTGACGAGTCAATCTGTTTCATTTTAGACTGTCTTTGATGTTCCGTTTTTTATAGACATATATCTGTTTACTCCAAGGCCAAGTAAGCATATGTATTTTACTGAGGAGGTGTGGTGCTCACATCTCTTTTCTATATTGGCCTATTTAAGCCTAGAAGACAACATATCATAAAATACATCAGTTAGCATATGTAACATCATCCTGCATTCAGCACTTAATCAGCATCCTACTTTAGTGTCTTATTACTGGCAAAGGTCACAAACCTGCAGAGTCATTTAGGGTGAAAGCTGATGGAGATGAATAGATGAGATAATCCTCGCCTCCGAATCCACATCCTTGCATCTTTAGTATTAATACAGATCCTTGTTCTGCTTTCTTGTTTGCTGCAATATGTTGTCTCTGTAGCCGGATTACTAGAAAATGCAAGCAATTTGCTACAGTGTACTGCAACTGTATGCATCTAAATAAATAAAAAACTCATAGCGTAGGTGTGTTTTCCTATTCAAAATAGTTAATTTATTAGAGACCACTAACATCATAAATGAAGTAGACTTATAATGCCTGACATTTCTACATTTGTGTTTGTGAGCTAAGGTCACAGATATGAAATTAAACTTCAAGTGCACATATACTAGGAAGCCAAGGGAAACACCAATAGATTTTTGGGGAAACCAATCTCTTAACTAATCCTCCCTCAAAAAATAACTCCGTACATTTTTTTGTCTGCCTATAACTGTCAAAATGCAAAATATTTCTTCAAATCTACCAATTATATGTTATACCTAACCTATGTCCAAATGTTTTCAGTTTCTACAATGATTTTTCAGAAAAAATGAGGAATTTAAGAAACATAGTGAAGGCATCAATACCAAGAGCTATAAAGAACTAATGGCCGATCCTTGTGGTGAAAAAGATATGTTGCAAGCGGACCAGCCTTACTAGTGTAAAGTTCCGCCTTCTTCACCCCCTCAAAATATCAACACTGGTCGCACCTTATCCTTGCTTCAGTTTAACCTAAATCAGAATTTTTTCAGTTTATATTAAGTTAAGAATTTTTACATCACCAAAGTCTTCCTTGCTGCTTCATGCTTTATTCTGTTTTGCTACATTATAACATGAAAACTTCAACATGTTCTTATATTTCAGGGTAGGGTAACAAGGTCCTCACCTAATTATGATTTTTGGTAAAAAATGTCAACTCTCATAATAGGAACTGATAAATTTAGCTCAAGTAGAAACATTAGTTCTTTTCAATAACATTTTTTTCATTTGAATGTTATAAGCAATTTGTATAAAATGTGAATGATGAACATTCATAAATTACTTTTATTGCCTCAGTGACCTAGCTTAATAAAAGTAATAAAACTATCAATAGCATGGCCTGAAATTAAAATAGAATAAATGACAAAGGAATGATGAAGGTCACAAAAATAATAGTGAATGCAAAATTAATGTTACAGAAGAAAAGAGAGAAATGCTATATGGTTCACAATGAAATTCCTTGCACAGGAGGCTCAATAAAGTTTATCGGCCTACATGTGTTTTGGCTGTAGATATCTCTGGAATTCTTTATTTGATGTGATTGCTATAGCAACATCCTAGAAAAGCCAGCAAATGTAATCTGAGTATAAAATAGCACTAAGATGGATGCAAATACTGCATACAGACTTGGTCCAGTCAACACCTAATTCTAAAACTACATTCTAAGTTCATTGATGCACTGATGCAAAGCAATTGATTATTGAGCATTCTATAACTAAGATATAGACCAAATCTAACATTCTACAGCTAAGATATAAACCAAATTAAACATTCTATAACTAAAATGTAGTCCAAATTAAAACATTTAATAAATGCATTAATTTGCAAAATACGTTTTTGATGTAAACACTACAGGATATCACAAAACAAATTACTGTAAAATGGGTAATTTTGACACCGGGAAATTTTAGCAATTTTTCAATTTTAGGGGATTTTAGAGCGGGAAATTTTAGCGAAATGAAGATTAATCTTTAAAAAATCAAATTAGCGAAATGCATTAGAAATTTTTTCATTTATGTTTCTCACTTATGGTACGGGAGAATTTAAGCAATATCATTGGTTGTTGAACCGTGTTCAATTAACACCTTTTATCTTTATATTTACTACTAATACTATTTCACTGATGGATGGCTATTTATCCTTCAGATATTAGAGAATTTTCGTTATAAGTTGTTTCAAAAACTTATATGTATACTTATAGTTTAAAGGGTCTTGTCTAACTAAAATCAATTCAAATTGATTTTCATAATCTGTACCAAGTGGGGCATAACTATTCCCGATATAGTCAAGCTCCATCATCAACTAGGGACTGCGAATACAATGTCCTTTGCTAGTGTCAATTATGAACACGATAAACTAAACGCTAGTTGACGGGTCCTTGTAGTGTACGATAAACAAGACCCTTTAAAGTGAATCACTACACGAACGAGTCGATCATTTCAAAGCTCTCATGAAATCATAAGGTCAATTTTTAAGTTTTTACGTATAAAAGGGCCTTTAAACGCAGATTATAAACTTACAGAGTTGGATCTCCGCATAGTATATGTGTGGACCTACTGACCAGAATGGCTTATTAAAATTAATCGGCTGAATAGGCATAGTATCCAATCAAACAGCTCGACTCATTCATTAGCTGAACTAATTCTCCCTTCGTTATTTCTACAAGGTGATTCAAAACGATCATCTACAAAATATATATTTGAGAGTAGATAAATCTGTAAAACCTGTGTGCTATATCAGCCTATTTGATTCTAGAAAACACATATGACACAACTAAACATGCTTTACATCAAGGGGGTACGGATGGTATGCCATTGGCCCTTTTTATTACCGTCCTAGGAGATATTTCCCGACGAATTAGGAAATTATGAAACACCTTGTTTATTGGGTTTATAAGTATAAGTATACGTATAAGTTTTTAAAAAACTTATAACGAAAATTCTCTATTGAAAGAAACATACGATTTAAAAATATTTACCTTTTTCAAATTACAAACCGGAAGTCGAGCACTGAACGAAAAGCTCCTTAAATACTAGTATTCATGTAGTTTCCCGGGAATTTGCAAATTTTAGCGCCCGGTTTATTTTAACCCCGGTTTATTTTAGCGAATTGAATTTTTAGCGAAACTATAGCGATCACTAACAATCGGTAACAATTACCCCTCGCTAACAATACCCGTTTTACAGTACTTCTATGATTCATAATCCCCGTTTCACTTTTTGATATGAAAATTAATTTTAATTATTGGTAATACAGGTTTACATGTATCTGCTTTTACATGATATTTACCTTGTTTTTATGAGCCTAAAGGAAACAAGTCATAAAAATTCTATGTTTGTCTATATGTGATTTTATAGGTATTGAACAAAGTGACATCCTTGGGAAGCTATTCGCATATTTCAACTCATATTTTATGCCTCAAACATTTCATATGAATTTTTCTATATGAACTAAAACACTTTACTCTGTTCATTTCATGACATCAACATTTTAATGATTCAAATCTTATAATCTTTACAGTTTCTGACCTCACTTGGTGAAACAAATCTCTCATTGTCACTAGCCTATAATGCTAAATGCGCTAGGCAGCGACTACTGTAACTACTTTATACTTTTTAAATTGAATAAATATACGATAATGAACTGGAATTGTCACTTATATTGTATTGCTTGACATAGCTGAGAAACAGACATAATATGAAATTCCATTCAAATTAATTAATATATAGATTATCAAAATACAATTGTTTTAAACAAAGGCATAAGGAATATAGAAGTTGATAAAAGAAACATTAAATATATGTCTGTTGAAATCATAAAAGCAGGAAATAACTTGATGATAGGGAAATCAAAATAAATCATGATATAAAAAAGAATCAACATATTTTTTTTATCATATGATTGTTCAGAGAACAAAGCAATTTCAAAAACTGTTTTGCATGTTCAACCTTATTGAAAATCAATGTAAAACAAAATACAATTGTTTTTGGCAAACACATAGTTAGGAATACAGGAATACAGGGTGTTCAGGAAATAAAGAGAATAATGTCATAACTTTTTTATTTACTGTAGATTGGGTTAATTTGGCGCTACTTAATTTGGCGATTTTGCCATTTTTGGCATATAGGCGGCTATTTAATTTGGCGGATATGCAAGAAAATTAACTTACCATGTAAATGGATAAGTTTGGCTATGTCCATTTTTCTTTTGAGGACCACTGGCGATCATCCTTTACATTTTGCACCTCGATCGATGCTGCTACTATACCACGCTTTTCCTTTCGAGTTTTTCCCTGAATATTAATGAGTGACTGACCAGTTCTGAGCCAATTTATGAGAGACATTTTTCATATTTTTGAAAGAAACTAAACCGGAAGTGACCTAAATACACTGGAGGAAATACTCTAGATAATTCCCGGGGATTCATTTTAAATTTTGGCGAAGATTTATATTGGCGAATTTTTCAATTTCGCCAAATTCGCCAAATTAAAGCGGGCGCCAAATTAACCCAATCTACAGTATTCATGGATTTCAATAAAATTTGCAGGGATTATAGATTAAACATATTTTAACTTAATTTTGGAGTTTCAGCTTCAAGCGATTTGATTTGTCATTTCTGTGGTTGGCATAGCAACGCGAGTAGCGCTAAGGCGGGGCACATGGAATAACTGCACTAGTTCTGTGTAACATTGAGCATGGCACACTGATTTTGACTCCATATTTAAAGCTTTCTTGGTGCATCTCCATGATAAAATTCTTCTATTGTTTTGTTTTATGATACAAAATCAAATAAATGCTTTTTTAATGATTTTCAATGGGATTTTCATGACTAAATGCAGGCATTACGTAGAAAGTGACCCGGGATGCAATTTCTCTTCCACTTGGACAATTCCTCCTCCCATACTGCTGCCACAATCACTAAAAAAATGAGCAGCTGAGATTAGAGCAACTCAAGCATCCACCTTATTCACCAAACCTAGCACCAAATGCTGAATCAAAATGGGACTTAAGAGTCATGCCATACATTCACATGTCACGTGTTAAACAGACTTCAGGAAATGAGTCAAGTCGAAGAATTCTGTGAAGTATTAGAAGAAGGTTCAAGAGGCAAAGAGTTTGTGTCTAAATTGGGGGAAATTATGTAGAATAAATTGATAAATTGGCAAAGAATTTCAGGCTTATAGTTATAACTACGATTAAGCATCCATTTTAAGTTATAAACATGATAGAATCTCTTTTTAAAACATTTAGAACATGCAAATATACTGCAGTTAATTCACCTGCCCCGCCTTAGCGCTACTCGCGTTGCTATGACAACCACAGAATCAACCAATCAAATCACCAGAAGCTGAAACTCAACTCCATGAATTAGTTAAAATATGTTAAAACTATAATCTCTGAAACTTTCAATGCAATCCATTGATAAATAAAAAAGATATGACATTATTATCTTTATTTCCTGAACACCC